TGTTTTTGCATTGGTTGCTGCATTTTTTTGCTTTTATCTCGGGGAAAAAGCAAAAATGAAGGGAATCTGATGCATCCGAAAAAATGCAAATCAGAATCTCTATTTGCTCGTCAATTTCTTGTGGTTGCATTGTTTTTGTTTTTTTTGCTTGCATTGTGTTCCCTTTTCTGAGCGCATTTTCTGGTTGGCTTGCTGCTTTTTTTCTGGATTTGTTAATGCTTGTTTGCTTTTTCCTTTGCATTGGGTTTGCATTTTTTTGCATTGTTTTCCCATTTTTATTATTTCCACGATTACTAGAGTTAGCTAATAGGGCACGGCACAACCCTTGCCGGAGGAAGAAAAGAAACTACCTTTAGCTTGCCAGAAGCCAAATGCCGTGCAAACATCTTTACACTTCCTTTCACCTCGCTACGAAACGTTTGTATAAGCCTGGACTGGAGAAGCATTCCCAAGCTGACTCTCAAGCTGTAGTGCAGCGCTCAGCACCGAGCGGATCAGTCTGTCGAGTAAGACTTTGTTGTCCTGCAACTTTTCTAATCACACAGACCGCCAAGAAGCAAAAAGCAGACCTAAGCCTAGACCCACAAGCCCACAAGCGTGAAAGTAGTAGTGATAGCACATTACAGTGCATGCGGAGAACTGGAAAAGCATGCTTCCCAGATGGGTTCACAAAACTTCCCTAATTTCGAAACTCCAGACCCTTTGTTCACATGAACATTTGCGGAAGCATGGCTGTTCGGGCTCTTCTCTCGCAGCGATAGCGTGGCACCTTGTCAATCTGTCGAGCAGCTTTGCGCCGCAATGTCAAGTTCAAGGAACCTGAGGTCAGGCAGAGTTGTCACTCCTCAGGCTATTACAACGGTGCTGATGATAGGCAGCGGTACTGGCCTGCTGCCGGGGCAGAGCTTGGTGGCTTTGGCGCCAGAATTTGTCGCCGTCGCCCCTCAGACTCACGCATCACCTGAAGAGAAGAAGACTAAAGGTTGCCTTTAAATCTCCTCCGCCCGAATCCTGACTGCACAGTGCTCAAGGGACTTGTCTGGCATGAACACTGATAAATGATAAGTCTCCAGCGGCACCCAGACGCTCGACCAGTCTCTGGTTACTTCGATTTAAGCTGTCTGTCTCCTGCATGTCGCATGATGGATTGCAGCTCATTCGCTGCTCAACGTGTGTCTTGCCTCTTCCTTGCGCCTCGCTCTGGCAATCCGCATTGCCTCCGAGCCTGAGATCTCCAGGGCTCCCGGCATGAACAAAGAGAGGCAGGCGTGGTTTTCGGATGATAGTGCTCAACTCAAGCAGGGAATCCTACACTTTCTGAGCTGCACACGCGCCAGCAATTCTCCAGTCTGCCTTTCTGTCTCAAAGACCTCAATGTAGTGATGCAGTATACACATCATCAGGATGAGGCCAGTGATGGAGGCACTCATGGACGCGTCATCGCGGATTACATTCAGGCTCGCCGATCACAACTTGCTTCTGAGATTCTGCAGGCTCGTTAGATCGGGAGTGCTCCACGCCCTCCCGCAAACCCTTCACCGCGTAACCCTCTAGTAAATCAGAACTTTTCCAATCCAGCGTTTCTGAGAGGTTTGCGCATGTGATTAGATTTTGCAGCGCCGGGCGGCCTTTACTGGATCAACGCATCGCGTTTCCTTAAACTTGCCATGTTTGGGGCTGGATATCGCTGGATTCCTCGTTGAGACTGCACCATAAAAACCTGGAGAGGTAGGATAAATGGACGGCCAACACGCTCAGAGCTGTGTCGACCGCTCTAGAAAAAGTTCGAGCCAGTGCCTGCAACTGCTCTAATATCAGGCCCACGGTTAAGTACTAAGCAGAAAGCTGAGAGCTGCGCATCGTAGTAGGAGTTTGCGTTTTCGACTCGCTGCCTGACGTTGTCGACAGTCTTGCTCATGTATGGAAATTGTTTCTGTTGGCCCAGGAGCTGTCACGTCAGCTCTACGTAAGGTTTGCCCTCGATTTTACGGCCTGTGAGCATACAGCACCCGATGAAGGTGCTGAAACCGCAGTCGATCCAGCGCCACCAGCTCCTGTTACAAACAGCTGGTCACTGGTCTGCGGTTGAGCTCACGATATGCAACTGACGAGGACTTGTCTGCCTGTGCATCTTCCCAAGCTGGTACTTTTGTTGGGGCATGCTCCTGAAATCACGAACATGCTTGACGCTGGCGCCACGCGCAAGCCACATATTGCTTGGTGAGCGCACACCGCGAGCAGCGGCAGAGTTGCCCTGCTTACTTATCAACAATGCAGCCTTGAACGGAGGCGGCCCCACCATAGCATCTACACCGTGACCTGCTGAACACGATGCCTGCTGAGATGGCTCATTGTGCTTGGCTGGACAACTTGAGAAAAGAACTAGGGAATGTGCGGTCCAGCAACACTTCTTGAACTTCTGACCACTGGGCTTGGGCTACACCATGCAATTCTGCAGAAAGAGAGCCGAGACGAAGTGAGCACAGTGCGACGTGCAAGGATGCTGCATGTTGCGGCCGTCTAGAAAGCAATCCTCTAGCTCAAGTCAGATCCATTCTGAGGCAAGCTGCCAGAAGGGTGAGCAGTTCAGAATCTGTACCGTGCTCTTTGAACAGGCCAGTTGTGAAACTTCACAGCCATCCTCCAGCGGCCTCTCAATCGCACAAGCAGGTAGGCCTGGGCAAAGAGCTCATTACAGCAAATTCCGCATGCGATGCAATCTGCACAATCAACCTTCCAGGCTTCTCGCTATCAGCCCATGCCCTCCTCCTGCACTCAATGGCACGGTGCTGTCTCACAGGCTGGAGGACCAAATCAAGCTCGGGGTTTCATGCAACAGGAAAAGCTGCCTGTAGGTCATGATCTGCTGTCTGCTGTAATATGGCCTTTTTTTCAGCGAGTCGCAGTGCTGCATGAGCGCAGATGAAATAGGTCAAGGGACCTATTGCTAGCCAAAATCGGTAGCACAGGCTGCAAAGTGGGCACACGCTGCGACATGAGGCATCAAAATAACTTAAATAACTTAAATAACTGCTAGGAACTTCTTGCATATGGAGCTGGATTCGCAGTCTGTGAGGAGGGTGTCTCAATTGGACACGCAGAAACTGCACATCATGTCTGTCCTACATGTCTTCAGTCCAACAGCGCTTTGCAACAGCAATCGAAAGGCCCCATCATCGAGAATTGGGCAATTGAGCAGTCAGGGCACATCTCTCTGCGACCTGATAATGGCACAGTAAACTGGAAGATTTCGTGCAGGATACTCTATTGGCGTTGGCAACCAGGTCAGGTCAACAAAGGCGTGCCGAATCCGAATCGTTCCATCGCGGTTGATCATTGCATGCATGGACAAATCCTACGAGGATTCACAGGGCCTTCGACCCTGGGCTGCCCTTTCTCTCACCATTCAGGCGGCAAAAGCTCCACCTGAGCCATAGCCTAGAAGAGATCTTTCTGGGCCCTTGCAGCTTGGCTCGGGACGGGAGGAAATCGTTGTGAAGGCACAGAACCCGTCAGTGCCCCATGCTTACTTTGAAACACTCTTTCACCCTGACTTTGGAACCGTGCAAGACATGAACCAGTCGAGGCATCCGCACAATTTCAAGAGTATGAGGGCCTATGCTTGTAAATGACCGTCAATACTGACTCGACCGGCGGCAAAGCAAACACTGTGGGGACTGCAGTGAAAGCTCTGCATGACCAAACTCAAGCCATCAGCTGGCTGTGGCCTGATGGTCTGCAAGATCTGGACATTGACGTGGCGTCTCTGACAACTCTTGCACTGCCCTCCAGCTGTAGCTGCATAGCTCCTTCAATTGAGATGTCAAAAGCATAACCAGAAAAAGAGAGAGGAGCAGGTCAACACTTGGTCTCTTGGGTGCTTCTGGCTCTCTGTCTTTTCGCCATGCAGTGAAGCACATGCTTCTAAGAGCATAGATGCTAGGATGGGACCCAATATGACTTTTTATGGACAACTCTGTCATATTAACTTCAGTGCATCGAAGCATGTGGGCTAATCCCTCCGCACTCGTGTGCCTGGGACAGCACTCCGATTCCCGACGGGTGTATGTACAGCGGTCGACTGAAACAGTCCAATGAAAAAAGATCTTCAGTCTGTTTTGAATGCAAATGCATGCATGGCTCCTGCTCAAAAATGCAGCTTTGACCATGGCTTGGGCGCGAGGTCACATGTGAGTGACCTACCTGAAAGACGTCCACAACAGCAAATCCGGTCACAAACTGGGTCCGGATATCTTTCCAAGCTGTGCAGAAATCAGTTCCGCTACGGCAGATTCCAACGGCGAAGCGAATCGCCGCGTAGAATGGCGTAGAAAAGGCTACGCCTTTACGCGCAACCCTGGAGTTTGAATCATTGTCCAAGCACACTCCAACATATGCCATTCATTGTGGCGTGACACGTTGTTGCAGCGATAAACGCAGCTTTGTAAAGATATGGCAGCCCCAACTCAAAATGCAATGATGTGAACAGTAGCTGAAGGAGACTTATGCACAAGGGCTGCAAGCAAGCACAAATCCAATTCAGGCATCATAACGAAGCCATCAGCATTTGACCACATTTCGGCAGTGCGCAGTGCCTTGCAAAATCTGGCACGTTTAGCCGGCCAGACTCTCACCGCCGAGCTGTTGTCGCTCAAACTTCTTCATTGCAGAGGGGGCAAGCCCTCTTTTGCTCGGTAAGCCATTTGGCAACACACTTTCGGTGGAAAACGTGTGTACAGGGAAGCTTTGCAATGTCCTCACCGCCTTGGCATACAGGGCAGGCCGGCTGCAGCTAGGCGGGAGGCTTACGATATGAAAAAAGCTGAGACAAGCACGTTCCAATGCTGCCAGGCAGACCGTGCCTCACCCGGATGTTGCATTCAATCAGGCACGGTTGCCGCACTAGGTGACTAGCTAGAGCTGGCAAGGATCAATTCTGTCCGAGGAAATCGTGTTCCAATGCACTTGGCAGGGCGTCGACACCTTCGCACGTTCATGCGCCCCTTTATGCTGTTGCTGCATGTGATTCAAACAATTTCCTGACCTTAATGGCCCAATCCAAGCGTAACTTAAGACAGCCAGCGCAGCTACAAGTGTGCGAGGCCTTCTGTGCTTGCCACCCTCTTCTCCAAAGTATCGTCCAACTGCAAAAGCATCTCGTAGTCCTCCAAGGCACGCCAGGGAAAGTCACCTCCAAGGAACTTTAACAGGCATCCCTTAAAGAGGTCCTCTGGCACAATGTCACGGAACATCAGCTCCGAGACATCGGAAGGCAGGAGACCGCAGGGCAAGGGCACCTCCCACAACTCACTCATCGACCGGCGCAGGCCGGAACGCCAGTGCCTGACAGTGAAGATTTGCCGACATGTGACGGCACCTAAAAGAAAGCAGTCTGAGGATCTGCCTTGGATGCCTTGATCTCATGTGCTCACAGTAGCGGCAATCGCATGGACCCTCTTCTCCATAGCATGGCCTCGCATCGTGATATGTTGGCTTGCACATGCTTTCACCTAACTTCAAGTCAAGCTGCTCTTCCCCGCTCTGTCCAAGTGGAGGGCCTTCTTCTGGGACACCTCTGACAAGGTCACTACAGTGACTGGTCTTGATCTGGCTTTCCTGCCTGTCCAACTGCTCTGACTAGGACCAGAGTTAGAGCTCGAAGCACCCTCCGATCCTGAGGGAAGCAACTTCCAACTTCTGAGCGATGCTTCTTTTTGTATGCTTCCAGGCGTCGGAAATTTCGTCGCCAGGGCTGCTGCTGGAAGTTTGCGGGCCGAAATGGCCTGCAAACAGGACTATGAAAAATCATCATGTTCTTGGCAACATACCCTGCCTGAGGCCCCCGTCGGGTGGCTCTTGTGGCAAGTTCTGACTCGGCTCTTGTGGCATTGGCACAGGTACTTGCACCATCTCCTGAGCAATTGGGAGCGACCTCTGAATCAGCAACTGACATGCATTCAGAGATGAGAGAGAGTTTTGTTCGACTGAACCGAGTGACCATGGGCATTGGCATCGGACCAGGGCATGGCCCAACGCCTACGAAGCCCATCGGCTGAAAGCTGGGCCCTGGCATGGGCTGGCCCTGCATGCCCTGCCAATCCTTAGATCAAGCTACATGTAACACACGTTTTAATAAGGCGTAAGCAAGTGTCTTTTATGCTACCAAGGCTCTTTTGCAGTGGGCCATCCTGATGACGAAGCATCAAAACTCGGTTCTTGGTAGCCATCAAAGCTGGGCCGCTGCATGCATGCCATGGGCATGCCACCTGCTAGGGAACTGTTCTGTGCGCCCTGCAGACTTCGCAGCTACGAATCACGCAACGAAGCTGTACCCACCTGCGGCTGCACTAGGCTGCGCCATGCCCTGATCAAAGGATTGGGCCGGCTGCGGGAAAGGAGCTGGCGTGAACTGGCTGAACCTCGACGGCCAGTTTATCATGGAAAGTATAACTGCGGAATCCTAGTCTTGAAAACAATCAACTGTTTCTGAGGCTCTGCGACTGGTCCACAGACACAGCACCTTTGAATCCGGACCAAGCTACGGCTGAGGTCCCCAGTTCTCGCACACGACAAAGCCTTCTGGGCTCATTTGTGCCTGCGGCCCCACTGGGGCGCAGAATACGAGAGTCGGCACCTGCCAAACGCCGACGCTGGCGACGCCCCCGGGGAGGGGCGGAGCCGGGCGCATCGGGCCTCCAGGGCCGCTCGGTTGGCCCGTTGGACCATTGGAGTTGGGCTGCATGGCGATATGACAAGCTGCGTTGGCGTTCTGTTCTCCCCGTAACGAATTTTGGTCGGGGCTTAACCTACCTTGGCTGGACTGTCAAAGGTTTTGCTTAAGGTGGTCCTTGCACACTTGATCCTACGATCAGGCTTTTCCCTGCACCTTGCATACTGCACTCATGGCGACTCCACAGCTTTGATATGGAAACATTTGCACGCGCGCAGCAGGATCTTTGAATGGGCTCGACGCAGCAGGCAGCGGATGCTTTGCCAACGGAGCTCGATCATGCATTTGCGGCAACAAAGCTGGTCTCGCATGTTCCAACCTATGAGAGGTCAGTCAAACCGATCCGGCCTGTGCACGGCGGTCTGGCCTGGCACAAGTCTGCATCAGCGCGCCCCTTGTGCTTATGATCCCAGGAGGTTGCTGCGAATGGCTCCCTTTCGTAGATGAAGCTCGCCAGGGAAAAGCACATTGCAACGCTCAATAAAACATTTTCTTGCCTCTGTGACACATCCACCCACTGCACTGCTACCGTCGAAAATTGAAACGAAGTGGCCCGACGGATCCGAGCGTAGAAAACTAATGAAAACTATGCAGTCAAGTTGAGTTTGGGCTAAGAAGCGCATGCTGCTGCCCTACCCGCTTGCATTTTGTCTAAACCAAGATTTTTCATGTCCCTTCAGATATGTCTTCATGGACTCGCTGCTTTCTCAGAATGCCGCTTGAGCTGGGCTCAGACGGGTCTGTCGAAATCTTCCGGGGTCTCAATCTGGAATTTGCCCTTGTTTGTCCTGCAGCGTGGGGTGTACTTGCCAGATCTTGCCAGACTACCTAGACTGGCTTCAACCATTGTAACAAGAAAAATGGCCCTGGTTCCACAAATAAGACCCACACGACATCGCTGCAAAGGCTCCGGGCCTGCAAAGGTGCAAGAGGAGTTCTGCCCGGATGTTGGACACAAGCCGTCCAAGGGCAAGCATTTTCCAGACTCAAATCCTGATGAGGTCTCGCAAGGTAACTGATTGCAAGTTTGGCTTTGCCATGCTCGCATGGTCTCTACTGATCTCTGTACATTCCCCAGGCTGTGTAGCTGGATCTTTCTTTCGAACAAAATGCCCACCCATGAAGAGTCTGCCCATGGCATTGTTGCAGAACACCGCTCTACCATGTAAATCAAATCCCCCTGACAACATCTGCCGGCATATTCATTCTGCAGGATAATTAACCATGCTTTTGGCCATCAACTGGGTTGCTCAACAAATTATCTGCAAACGTCTGTTCCGAGGGCATGCACAGCCGTTGTACGAGAACAAAATCTCCAAACCCTTCTGCAGAGTCGCAGTAACAGACATTTGCAAAAAGCTCTTATCTGAAGATGCCGAGAATGCAATCGGTTTGGAGCCCCGTGAGAACACAGAATTACTTTTCTTGGGGAGGGGGTGGTGTATATAAAGACCTGATTTTTGAGGAACATATGACCGCAGAATTTGTTGTCCAAGCAACGTGATGACTTGAGGTTTTGGGCAGAGAAGCGTTGAGATGGTATTGGGGCCCATGTCTGGGTCACTACTCTTTTTTTTCTACCAGAGGGCTATCACACAAATCACATGACCGCATTCCTCCGGCTTGCTTCAATTACTCATGCCCTTGTCTGAATTCTTCAGCGCTCCATCTCTGCTGGGAGTTGTAGGCTTCACAGGCTCGCGCAACATCTTCTTGGAGTTTTTCAAGCTGTCCCAGGCCAAGCCGCTGGCTCTCATCGAGGAAGTCCTGTAGCTCCGAGGGGTCAAAGCCCAACCTGCGAAGGGGGAAGGCATTCCATCCCTCCAAAACCCACTTTCAAAAAACAGGTAGGAGCCACAAACCCAAATGGAAACACATGATACGTACGTGTCGGAGAGACCGTAACACGCGCCACGCGCGACACAGTTCGCGGAACTTAGATTCCGTGCCCCCCTCATTAACTGATACAGGATTCCTCTCTTCTTCTTCTGGCTATGCTCACCCCTGAAAGGGCAAGCCGGGGCAGCGCCCCATAGCCGCGCAAGTCCAGAGGCTCCAGGCGGTACGAGCAAGGACCAGGATACCGACATAACTATCGGACTCACATGACTCACAAAGAGTTCCTTTCGGGAGCTTGAGTCTCACATGCCCGTTGGCTTTGGTCTGCGGGCTTGGGTGCCATATGCACACTTAAGAGGTCACAAAGCCCGCTCCCCTTCCGGAAAATCCAATGTTGATTTCCAATGCAAAAGGGCTGCTGGGATCTCAAGTAGATCTAGATGCACAAACTCGTGCCATGGGCAGCAAGGCTGTTGAGACAGACTCCACTGCAGGCCACGAGTGAAAGAGTCTTCAAGACCTGCTCTGTTGAGCCCGTCGGATGGGCTGTCGTCCAACGGGACTTACTCTATCCAAACCCTACAGCCTAGCTGTTCCAATAATAATAAGTACGTGGCAGACTGCCGCTATACGGGCAGTGTGCGGTTCAGAGCAAGCACCCTTTGCCACGGATGCACACACCGCTTGATTGTCAACGAAGAGCAGGATATCCCTGCCCTCCGTGCATTCAAGCCCGAAGAAGGCAACAAAGCACTGGAGGACTGCCAGGGCTTCCAACGGCATGATCCGTGTTGCCAGATCTTGCAGGCATGCTACCACAGAATCGTGGACTTTCGCAGCGCCCCCGCCAGACACAGGATGAATGAAAACATAGCGCAGGCCGGGCCCATCCATGTCCTGCGGTTCCCAGCTCGCATCGGTGTAGACGACGATGGGGGAAGGTTCGGCTCCTCTGAATTGGTATCTGTCTGGATTTAGCGACTTGAACCAGTGAGCGAAAGAAGCGCAGAGCTGCCGCTAGGTCGGCGTCAATGTCCGAGCTGCCCTCTTGATACTGCCGTCTGAGCAAGGCGGCGTGGCCTGCCCTGCCGCACTTTCCGAACATGCCACAGGCTGCCCGTGTAAGGCGCCCCCTGAGCTTGGAAGCTCAGCTGGGGAGCAGGTGCCTCTGTGCAGGATGTATGCAATGTCCTGCGCGAGTTGTTCTCGCAAGCCCAGCTTGAGCATCTAAGGCGGCTGACAAGTCCAGAAGGACACCTAAAAAATGGCACGGAGTGGCCATGGGACCCTAGTTTGAGGGCGTCAGGACGAGACCGAGAAGATCGTATGCACTGCGCAGCCACGATATGCCGCTGCCCTGGCACACACGAAATCAAGGACACCACAGTCATCGAAGCATTTTTGCTGAGCAGACGGCTGCCACATGGCGAACAATCGCTGTCAGGAACGCCGGCGCCCTATTGAAAGTGAGAACTGCTGCAGCAAGGCCAAACGGGTATGCACGCCAGGGGGGCGTAGCGGACGGCCTCTACGTCAACGCTATAGAAGGCTATGACTGGGGCTTGGCGTTCGGCCGGAACGATGGGGATCTGCCGGTGCCTTCATATCTTCAGCGCTGAAGCGCGGCTCTACCCACGCTGGTGGGGCTTCCTCTTGTTGCTGGAGCAGACGCGCGCACGCCTTGCAGGCTGAGGCGACGAAATCGGGGAAAACGTGTACATCGTCTCTTCGGAGAAGCAGGACTTATTATGGTTGCTGTATCGGCCATCGTCTATGGCCCCCAAGCTTGTTAGCCTGGGCCAACATGAATCTGCACATGGGGATCCATTGGCCTTCCCCAAACAACTGATTCAGTTCCGTTTTGGAAACTTGCCCTTGAGCAATGCCTTGTTCAAATTCTTCCTCTGTGAAAGCTTTGGCCTCTGCTGCATGTGGGAACCTAGGCAGGCTGGCTTCGAGCTCGGCAGTGATGGAAGTGGCACGCGTTCCCACAAGGCTGGGAGGCCCAGCTGGAAAGGAGGTTCGGCGTCCAAATCCCGAAAGATGCCTGTGCTCTCGATGGCTCCCAGTAACTAAAAGCCAAGTGCAAAACGCAAGCCCAGAGTTGTGTCAGGCCAACGCAGCAACAGGAACAACAGCGTCATAGCTGCTGGGCGCCGATCTTTAGCACGTCGGGGCGCATTGTCCTGCATATGAGCGTTCGCCAAGCTCCGTGAATAATCCAATGCCATAGACGAGGCAGGGGGGTCCTATCGCTATTGGAGGTTTTTGCGTAGGATACAAGAAAGGCATCGCTTTTGTGGGAGTCAGCCCAAACACGGCCGTGATCACGTCTTAGATTGAGGGGTATCGCTTGGGGAGGTGTCCCATCGCTGTTGGGGCTGTTTGTGCGATTCGTACGTCTCAGTTCTTTCTGTTCGTGCCTCATACGCGATTATTGACCTTTGGTCATATGATGTCGTCCCATGGCCGGATGAATCACGCGACACGCTGAAATTCGCGAAGTTGCTGCTGACGCCACGCTCCAATGCAACGGCCAAGAGTGCACATGCCACGGCAGACCAATGATGCGTCATGGTCAAGCTGCGCGAGGCTATGAAACGGGCTGGGCAGGCAGGTGGAAACCTGAACGTGAGCTGACTTGCCCAAGCCTGGCAGGAGCAGCGGAGGAGTGGCATGCTTGGCGTTTGGTCCCGCAGCCTGCACCCCCACTCAGCAGAGAGCAGCGCACACGTTCTGGATTATGGTCTTTTTGTACCGAGGAGCCGCCTTTGGGGACCCATTGCAAAACGGAAGGCATGATCTGTACTCTCTCTGACGAGGACGGCGCTCGCCATTTGTCGCAAGGCATGGGTCACGTAGCTGAAGAGGGAATAATTGGCAGCAGTCCTGATGGAACCTCTCAAGAGTAGCAGCGTCTTCTTGGGGACCAAGGTCCGGGCGATGAGGACATGCACGTGTGAACACAGGAAAGCATGGACCCTCCTTGCTGCTAGATGCATTGAGCGCAGGGTCAAGCACGGGTCACATGTCATCCTCGAATGAAACCACAGGCGGCCAAGGCTTCTTAGGCCTCCACGCCAACTTCCATCCTGAGGGGGATGGTTCTGCACCAACCTGCAGGGGCAGCTGCGGATTGCTGAGGTCTTGTAGGGAATGCGTGCCATCAGACCCGCAGTAACAACGGGTGCGGCGCACCCAGCCGAAGGAGGCGGCTGACACAGTAGCCGGGGGGCCATTCATGGATTGACATGCGCTGTGCCATAAGTCTGGGCTGGAGCCGTGCACATTCTCCAGGAGCGACATCACTGGGATATTGATTCCCGGTTGTCGGAGTAGGCTTCTTCATTTTGCTCTCCAATCCTTTTCACATGCTCTCTCCGTTCCCCTCTTCTCTACTCCCCTCCGCTGTTCTCCTCTCAAGTCTTTTGGCCACTCCTCCCCTCCACTTTCCAGCCCACTCCTCTCCAAAAGTGGCGACAAAAGCGAGGATCGCGAACTCAAGACTCCCCATCCCCGTGACCGTTGACACACGACAGTTACAAGCATAGCCGACCCCAGGGCCCCATCCCTGCCACTGTAAGCACTTTTGACACGCGAAGGTCCAAAAGTGACGACAAGTGCGTGGCCGGCTCGCGACACCCTACCGACACTCTTGCGGACGCTTGCGTAACGCTTGCGAACGCTAGAGCAATGACGCTTGGTCACCTCCCGGACCCGTGGAACCCAACCTTTCAAACAAGAACCCTTCTGCGGAGTGTTAGGCAACGAAATTATGCTTCCCGGCCTGAGCATGTACGGAAGGTGCTCTCGAGCAAAATGGCTCCACACTTTGAGAATCTTGAGCCACATCTGCTCGGCCATTCCCGCTGTGAGCCTTGAGGTGCCCGTTGGTTTCTTGGCCATCCCTGCTGCCTCCTTGTGAATCCACGCTTGAACCTCACCACACAAGCGGGTCATAACTTTTGTGGCCTTCTGGCCGTCCATCTCGCATCGGCACATGGAGGTCTTCTTTGCCATGGCCACCAGGGGAGCCACCTCTTCCAGATGGTATTTCAGATATCTGGCCATCTCCAACACTGACTGAAGAGGTGCCCTCGCCAGAGACTCATTTGCCCTGGCTGCCTCGGCTGGCTCCTTTGCCTTCGACTTTACCCAGCGAAGACGCGGCGACGAATGTTGCAGGAACTTTCGAAAAAGCTGTCCCTCCAACTGATACACAGCTTGTATGGGCCAGCGCCCTTCTGAAGACAAAGCCCAACCTGCTACAAAGCCCTTGGCAAGACCCGAATAAACCTCCACAGGCTCCCAGCCCGTTTCTGCAGAGGCCACATTTCGGTCTGCGACTGGCAAAGGGAGTTGCAGCCTTTCCCATGCCATGCCAACAAGCATCACCAGCTTGGGAAGAGCAAATACTCTTGAGCCCCATCATCAAAGGCACGCATCGACATGCTCGCGCGTCGTAGGATGTGACGGCCAAAGAAGCTGCAGGTGTCATCAGGCACTTGCCACAAAGCATACAATCAGTGGTAGCTTGGCTGCGAGCACAAGTAGTAGGCCGACTGTGATAGCGATGGAAAGTCCGAGGAAGATCGGGGTGTTCTGGCAGCAGAGCACTACAAATATGGACCAGCTTCGAGAAATGGTCACCTGCTGCAAGTGAGCTTTAGTCTGGAATGTCCTGCAGAGGCAATTTTTATTGGTAGTTCTAGGGATTGATCCCATCGCACGGCCAAGCTTGGCTGCAAAAACTCGCCAGCGATGCATCCTCGAGCGTCTCCTGCCATGGTCTGCGTGGACAATTACTTGAAGTCACGGACATGAGTTGAGCTTGCATGCGCCTCAAGGTTCTGCGGCTCGGCAAAGGAGGGAGCAGCCCCCGAAAGCCTCACGCTCAAAGCACTTCTACGTGTAACCAGAATACTCGAAACGCGCATGCAGGAAGCACACCCAGTGTGCACACCAGGGTCAAAGCGCTGCGGAGACCGCCGCAATGCTTACGGCCTGAGAGCTCAAAAAGCTGAGTTACCTAGCCGTGCTTGTTTGTTTGATCTTGCTTTGTTAGTCAAGCCCACTGCTTGGCTCCGTTGCACAGGTGATGTCACGAAGTTCCAGATTCCTGAACGTGTAAGCACACGGGCACATGGATGACGTGCACGTCAACTTCAATATGGCTGGTCCTAAACAGAAGGGAACATATGAAAGAGTCTGAGTTTGAAAGGTCCTGCCTCGAAGGCGATGGGCCAAATCATGAGCTTCAGTGCAATCTACAGCATACCCTACTTCGGTTCCGTCAGAATTTCAAAGAAAGGAAAAGGAAACCGTCCGGCTTCAAGCATACAAATCTCCAGCGGCTCATCTCTGAAAGAATGACACTTGTGCAGCACGTCTGTCCTGCGGCCACATCCCAGCTCAGATACAATCCGAGAACAAGGCCTCAGTCTTGCAGCCCATACAGAGAAATTCTGCTGCACGCCGCGTCACATCCCAAAACTTGTCCAGCACAAGCGTGCCATTGCCATGCATGCAACCCAGCTGTTCTGTACTGAGACTACGGATGCAGAAGCTCCGGACTGATGGCCGTCAGCAAGGATGAGCTCCGTCCCATGGCGACCGCAAGCAGCAGCAGCGGCAGTGCTTTGGAACCAAGTGAATTGGCTGCGAGCTTGGGCTTTCACAGGCGGGCAAGACAGATGACAATTTCTTAGAGTTTCCCAAAGAGCAAGGTCCACCGTGCTCGAGAATCGCGGCTCTCACGAAGACTGGGGCGATGCAAGGACCTGAGGCTTCACAGGCAAGCTCTGACTTCCTCCAACCTCACAGACTTGCTTCGGCAAGAGAGCTGCTATGTAGCCCGCTGCGGCCTCGATTAACCGAATTGCCCGCATCTGCTTACTGAAAGCACAGGCATGATATGCAGATTGAAATGCCATGACTTTTCATGTCAGTATACGTATCCTTTTGCCAGGATTTGGAAACACAAGCCACGCAAGAGTGCCGAGCAAACGACATTGCGGTATCCAGATGCTGGAAGCCCCCACATCGCACACCGGTCTGGGAAGAGAAGGCGGTGTTGCATGAGGCAGGTCTCCCACAGGAAATGTAGATCCTTTGAAACTCCCTTCATCGTCTTCTTGACTTCTGTACCCTGATCGAATCTTGAACAAGCCTGCGTCAGGCCCTGCGGCATGGTTCCGGTGCCAAAATGCCTAGCAAGTCCACTTGGTCCAAAGTTTTGTCCATGGGTCATCACTCAGGGCTAAGGCTACATCCTTTCCCTGTCCCTACCCTCGCTGCAAAGCTCGATGAATGGCCTTGGCTCCTTCGGCGTCGTTGTCTCCAGAACTGGCAGACACTTCACCGTATCCTCTAGACTCTTGACTCTAGACGCGAGCATTTACAAAACGTTAACGAGTGCCTTCATGCGCATGAATCAGATACCAGTCCGCATGCTTCACAAACTAGAAATGAACGAGAAGCTCCTCCGCCCTCAAGAACAATCTTTCACAACTCCCCTGAATCAGTCAGAGTCCCAGTCCAAGACTTTCCACAACCCTCTGCGATGTTTGCTCCTAATCTTGCACCGCGCCTGCCGTGCGCAGGACAGGCTCACTGCTGATGTTTGGCACACGTCTTCCAGGCATCCTCAGGGCTGGAACTGGCAAAAGGAAGGCTTCATGTGGAAATGCAAGCATTCATGGTGATCTGCGGGATGACAGTGGCACAATAGAAAACAGAACAATTTGCTGCCCCGAACACATTGAAGAGACTGTCACTTTCACATGACATGCCTTGTGGCCGCAGATGTGGCAGAAGGAGGCGGCTCCTGCGCAAGTGGCTTATGTGTTGCCGGTCCTAGCACCACGCTTGCTGTCTTTGCCACAAACAGGCTTTTCCTGAAACAGCTTAGGAAATCAGAGTATGATGTAGCGGCATGCGATCGAACCAAAACAATATCAGCAAGCACAGGATTTTCTGTTCCGACGTTGCACTAGAAACTGCTGGCAGCTTGTTTCTCTTGTATCGCTCTCAAGCACACAAATTGTTGACATCTTATGTCATGTTTGTGATCACGTACAAGTCATCGAGCGCTGCACACCACTGATCTCGGAGTTTAGCCAGCGTGCCTGCTGTCTGCACTGTCTGTCAGATTCTCGACTCCGGAACCCAGGAGGTCACTGGTAAGAAGCAGAAGAATCACAAGCAACAGGAGCAGCAGTCCAGAAGGCACATCTGTTGAGGGAGTCTCACTGCATTGTGCGACCGTGAGATGCTTAAAACCTCGCGTCTGTGGCTACTGGATTCATCCAGCACTGGAGCATTTTGCACTTGGCAAGATGCAGAACAATGCAGGGGAAAAGAAGGGGGACGTGCGGCATCAATGAACAGGCATCATGCACGCTGATCGGAAAGCGAAACGACAGCACGAAATGTCTCAGATCGAGGTCGAGAAAGTTCCTCGAATACCCGGCTTGGTGCGCGATTCTTTTTCAACTTGTCTACGCGTTTGCCATCATCTTGATAGTCAACAGCACCGCACCGATCCTGCCGTTGTCTCTCCTTGCTTGACAGGCAGACGCTATAATGCCCGGCTGGCACGAGTTGTCTTGGAATTGCTCACGCTCAACCGATTGCCAGACGCTCGCTCGGATAGGCCCTGGGAAGAGTAACACTCATTACAACATATTACAACAAGGTTTTTTTGGGTGGCAATGATCAAGGCGCTCTTCGAAGGCATAAGGGCCTCACTGCGATGCAGACCCTTCTCTACGATAAGAAAATCTAGAACACATCTGTAAGTAGAAGAGAAGTAGGATGGCAAAAAGATGCAAAAAGAGAACGAGTCTGGGCAAAGACATGCGATATGCCTAAAATGTATCTAGCATGCGACAGCAGTCAGCACCTTCTTTGTTGGCACGTTCGCCGGGATGTGTCAGCAGTCATTGCGTGCTTTCAGCACAAATGAGTGGCTACTGCAGGATCAAACAGGCCAGGTATCATGCCAGCCTCCCATCACAAAAGGAACGGAAACCTGTTCAAACTGTTCATAAGAACGTAACCGAGATGCATACTGCCACGTGCCCTGAACCCATGTCAAGCTGTCCACGTTTGGGAGACTTCCTGTGTATTGAGGCCTGGCCACTTGCTACGACCTGCGCTATACCAATGCTTTAAGTTCTGCACACTGGACAAAAAGTTGCAAGCACTTCCATTCAGGCAAGGGCTGCGCGGTGCGTCGGAAAAGCTACTCACACGCACACAGCCAAGCTATCAGCATGATTAGCGGTAAGCACGTTTCCGGTCATTGTGGCCGGCATTGCTGGAGAAGCTGTCAACGCCACCAGTGCCACTGTGAAGTTGACTCAGAAACGTGCTGACACCTAGCATCGATGAAGCCGGATCCCGACCTGGGCTACACAGAAGCGAAGCCTCTGCGATTGAGACTGGCACAGCGAGACATCGAATCTGAGGCTGTCGTGTCTGTTGCGCTTTCCAGTAAACAGTTGCAGCTATTGCACCTATTGCGGCTGCCAAAAATAGAAAGCACACATAGGCGCCCTGCGCGCAGGCGCAGTATCCATCCTGCAAGAGGCAGCGGCATGGGCAGGGGTTTGCTAAAAGGCTGAAACTCATTCTCATCATCTTGCAGTCCTCGCATGTCACATCGCCTAACGATGTATTGCACGGGAGAGTCCTGGGCAAGGATGTGAGGCATGCCAGCAGAGGAGAATCCGGCGAAAGTGGCTGGTTGCCGATGAGTCCTAACTGTCCTGCTCCATCTACAATGCCATCCCTGGACACTTTAGATTGCCACCCACGTGACACATTATAGGCTAGACCTTGCGTCAAAGGACTATTTCAGGTTGATCGGCTGCCGTTGGAAGCCACCGCTCCCATCGTCATTGGGCTGAAGCTGTTGGCTGCTGAGCGGCTCGTTGCAGCTGTTGCCCACGTCCTTGACGACTTGGCAGCGGCCCCCAATGGCCTGCACAATTCAGCAGCATCTTACGCCTCATGATGTCTCCTGCTTCAAGACAGTTGCCAAGGACATGGCGCAGAAGCCCGTCTTGCAGACGCATTCGCCAGCCCTTGAAGCAAGGTATACCAGGCAAGTCCACAGCAGTAAAGAGGGGACATTTCTCAGAGCTCTGCTGGCAGTCTACGGCACCTCTCGAAGACGCACAGCCCCAGAATCGACACCTGAGCTGGCTGATGCAAACAGATTCCTATGATGAGGGCAAGATACTTGATTTGTGGAACACTGTTAGTACTGATTCCTATTGGTCAGCGCTGAAAGTGCAAAGCGGATCTGCCAATATGCTTGTTTGTTCACTCCGCTTCTGGTCTGAAGCACAGCATCGCAGATGGCTGACTTCAGTCACTCAGTGGAGGTTTTGAATTTGTGCTGGATGAAACCGCCCCATCCTGTAGCTTCGCGAGAATTTGCTTGGGCAGACACTGCAAGGGGCGCCAGTTAACTTGATCCATGGGACTTCGCGGTTTGCCGGATGTAGATTTGAGAGCCAGCGCAGAAAAGCGCCGGTCGCAGGCAAGGGCCAACAATTGGCGACAGCATGTCTGAGCTTGACGACTCCCCGACAAGCCCGCACACTACGTGGCAACATCGCTGCTCCGCAAACAGGCCCAAGAAAGGCACGAGGAGGCCTGAGAAAGCCTGCACCAGCCGCGTCACGGGAGGGGCTGCATCAGCTTCATCACGGGCCCCTAGTTCTTCCAAAATGGTGATGTAGGCAATCCCAAACTACTTCTACAAAAGGCCTATCTGCGCCACCTGGCACGACGTCTTCCAAAAGCCTGCTTTTGGGATATCTTTCAGAGGTAACTGAGGTAACTCATAGTGCCCGGGCATCAGCATCTGCTGGCTATCTTAAATTGCCTGCACCTCTTCCTCATGATGGTAGTGGTCTTTGACGAGACTTCCATATCATCCTACTGGTAGTCCGTCCACTGACTTGTCCTATCTGCTGCCAGCCCTGGCCTGGGCCATAGCTTTCATCCAAAAAACTCAAAACTCCTCACCACGCCCTTAGATCACCGTACACTGTACGCCAACCGGTCCTCAGAACGCAAGTTTCCAGACGCTTTGGAAACTTGCGAATGTTGCTAAGCATCCCGCCCTCCTCCGGTCTTCTTGGCGCATGTCTGCTGATCCTGAGTACACTTTCTCACAACACACAGCGTTCATCTTGCCTGTCGTGTCTGCATGTAGTTCAGACAAGCATCCACCGGAATACACTTTCCAGCTCGTCCCCTCCAGCCCTGAGCACAAATGCACCTGCACAAGCGAGCCAAAGGCACAAAAAGGCATCCTGATCATCTGCAGGTTGCAACTGACAAGACCTGCCTCCCTCCCAAGCACTTGCTTGGGCCCACTTGCACCTGGTCACAGACGTGGTACCTTGGTTGTGCCAATTGTATCGACCTACTTCTATTGAAAATCTCAGTGGCAGCACTCAGCCTCTGACTTGCAGTCCGTACCAGAATATGCTTCTGTCAAGAGATTGTGCCCGAGCGGTGTAGACAGCTCTTCTCGCCAGTCTCAGCAAGCCGATGCGGATTGCCACAGAACTTGTTCTTCATGTAATGATTGAAGGTGAAGCCGCACCAGAACCCTCCATGTAAGAGCCTAGCTGAAAGCGGACTTCGAATCCTGGCGGGGGGGGAGGGAGGAAGGCGGACACGTAGCTCGGTTGTTCTACATGGTCAAGTCACCTCATTGTCGGCATCCGCATCGCCGTCCGCTTCGCTGTTGCTCTCTTCCTGCCTCAGAAGGATGAGGCTGTTACAGCGTGTGATCCTTGAGTCCAAGGCTTTCCGAGGGCATGACACATCTACTGCTGCTGCAAACTGCAGGAAACGAGAAGCCTTGCGACTAGGCCCACTGGCAAAGTAAGAGCACAAATCTGGCTACATGCTCTACCTGAAGATTCTCCAAGACCCAGGCACATTTCTGGCCATTCCAACACTCATTGTCCTGTAAGGCCACAGAGTAAACAGATCAGGAGCTTCGCAGCTTCGCAGGCGCTAGGCCTGCTGCAGAACGTCACCCAGATGTCTTTTGGACCTTGAGGCACAAACCACACAATGCCTGGCCAAAAAACCTTCAAATACCTTCAGTACATTTCAGTGAGCTCCTGGCTCGGAGGCTTGGCCCACCTCGGGACATAGCACCCTCCACTACTCACAACTTGAGAGGTTGCACTCCACACCCACCTGCATACCTGTATACCTATGCAAGCCTGCTCCCGCTTAGACCAGCTTACAAATAGATCATCAACATCTCCCAGTGACAGGGGCCTCGAATGCGGGAGGAGAGCCCAGCAAAACCTGCACAGTGGGGCATGCGTTGACTTCATGTGCAAGCCTGCTGCGCGCAGTCCATTCACACTTCGCGCGACGAATTCAACATCTGGGCACCCGGCAAGTGGCCAGAGCCCTAACCATCTTACGCGCAACATGGGCAGAACCCAAGCAATTGCTGCTATCTCAGTTCTACCTATATGAAATGAGTGTGGCATGGACTTACGACATGCATGGCGTTTCATCAGCAATGCCGTAGAAGGACCATCAAATCTTGTGGTCCGTTTGAAGCTGACTTTGTGGCCTATGCCTGCGCACCTTCACCCCGTCTCGCATGCAATTGGGTGCTACCTCAAAACAGCGCAGCCAGAGCGAGCTGCGGGGCTCCCAGATGCACTAACAGGGTGATCCGCAACCCTCACGGCAAGTCGACACAGCAAGTCGACAATGCCGACTTCTGACACAACTGCTGCCGCTTCAACATTGAGAGCCCTGAACCAATTACCCTCACTCGGGTCTCCATCGCTGAACGTTGTGCCGTGATCGCTTCTGAGGATTCCATTTTCGAGCCAGCCTGGCAAAGAAATCCCAGCAGGCTGCAAGAGTTTGACTGGGACTGTGGGACCAAGCTGCCTGGGATGCTGGCAGCTTGGCATGAGTCTCCTGGAAACCAACCCAGCCTGAGCCTGTGGTATCTGCCTATGCGACCTTTTGCAGTTCATGCTGTTGTCTAGCTCACGTGCTGCGTGAGCTTGTCCTCTGACGGGTCAACGTAGAGCCGGCTGCGTTTTGGCATGGCTGCCATCTGGCAAACACCCTATCTTTCATGCCACTGACACTGCCAACATCGACTGCGCCACCTTCTTGCGCTCTTCCGCCTGCCTCCGCAATGCAGCGGTGCGGATCGGCTCCATGGAAGACCTGACATACATACTTACGTCGCTGCCAGCGCATCCAAGGTATTGTGGATCACACCTCCTGCGAACTCTACGCACCTGCGTGCTTCCCCCTTGCACCATCATTTTTGATTTGTAATGTGGGCCCCTCATGCAATCTGGCATTCCAACTTCTGGAGCGGCGCTATCACGAGGCCTTAAGGCTTCTAGTTGTTGGAGCTATCAGCGCAAGAAGCACAGTCTGCCACTGTCAAGGATGTTTATGAAGCAAAAACAACCCTGGTAATGACATTAATTGTGAAAGATGACAGCGCGTCAGATAAAGCACGTCTTCCATGAAGCTTAATTGCATTGCACGTCGCGTCTGTCGCGTCTGGATGCGTCTGGTCTGGTGACAGCTTTTTGTAATGCCCCATCCGAGAAAGGGACGTGAGATCGAGAGGTTCTAGATCCTTGGGCCCAATTCTCACCTAGGCTTTGGCACTTGCACAGGAGAACAACACGTTCCTGAAATGCAGTTGTTTTCCCAGGTCAGTACCGGTCGGATGTTGTCGAAGAGACGAGGCTGATTCCGAGCCTGCACAACTTCAAGAATCCCTTAGATAGACCCACGCCAAAGGCGGCCTGGCCCCGCTCCAACATGTCCGTGGACCAGCGTTTCACCGTCTTGCTGCCCAGCTCCGTCTCAGAGAAAACGGTTGAAGCAAAGTGTTAAAAAGGCTGAACTCACTTCTGCAGTCCCGCTCCGCCCGCTCCTGGCGCCCGAGGGTCATCTTGCCAGCTGCCAGCTCTTTTGCTGAGTCTGGCATCACCTCGTACGTGTCCCTGGGCTCGTCCCCGAAAGGCATCTCTGTGACTTTGAAGGTAGGCTCGCTGTGGTTCCTGACCAGCGTTCAACAGGCTTCACTTGGCTTGAGGGTTCGAGGCGGGGCCAGGTGCCTGCTCACGGTCTGCGGCGGGCTGGTGCCAATGCGAGCATCTTCAGGGTTTGACACCTCAGAAAGCCAAGTGCTGTGAGAACCATCTCTGAAGTGTCAGGAGCTGAGCTGCCAGCCCAGAAGGGAATGTCAGGATGGTCAGAGTATTTAGGGTACCTGCTTTTCAGATTTGGCGACGCTGCAACCAGAAATCTCAAGAACTGAAGATCATCTTCAGCCGCGATAGCGTGGAGCCAGCTCCGATGGGCACTCGCGTGGGAAGACACGCGGAAAACCAAAATGGTTCATGTCGTACTCAATCTGCGCAAGCAGCGGCTTAGCAAGCAAGGTCTGCCATGCTAGCAATGAAGCATGAAGCTTGTGTCATACTACCATGCCCGGGAGAATCAGCCAGCCTTATCCTTCAGTCTGTTGTCCTGACAATAGACAGCGACGCACATCTTCAGATGTGACAGCCCGCAGCAACTAACATCGGTGGCCTTTAGCCTCGTGAGCGTCATCGGCTCTTCCTTTGGCTCGCGGAACTCAAATTCTCGGACCTGCACTTGCTGCTTTTGGGTTTTGACATGTCTTGCTATCCCGAACACAAATGATGATCTGGCAGCCTTCGCAGACCATGAATGAAAAAGCTACAAGTGTCGTCATGCATGACAGCCACCTCTCTCTCGCCGTTCCTGATGGAGAGGGGAACATAGTATTCATCTCCATGTAGCCTCAGCTCCTTCCGATGGCTTCTTGATGGTAGGCTTCCAAAATAGATGCGGCTAATCCGTCCTCATTGTCTCGCTTCATCAGCTCTTTTCGAGTCTCCAAGAGCCTCATATCCCAACAAGACTCGTGTCGTATTGGAAGCGCACTGCAGCGTGTTACAGTGCAGCCCTGACGTCACATTGCTCGGGGCCATGCTGCCCTCGGGTGCGGAACGTCGGATCCTGCACTCGGTCCATTCCAACCGTCCTCGCCATTTGGAGATGGATCCAAGAATATTATGGTGTTGCTTGCAATGACCGGCTTTCTGCAGATGTCTGTTCTGTTATTGAACCCGTCAGTCTTGCACTCCCGCTCGGGATTCACCGGGTAGCTCATTGGCATCAGGCCGCCGCGGACACGCGCCAACTGCCAGAATCAGGTGGGGAAGTATGCGAACAGGTCCCCTCTCTAGCGAAGAACACTTCTTTAGATTCGCAGTCAAATGCCTGGTGGTCTGCTTCCGCACGCTCGCGGATATGCGCGACTGGACCTTTGCATGCAGCAAAAAAACTTGTCAGGTGTCCAGAGTCCACATCGGTGTGTGCAGCCAGGGATTGAGGAAACGCAGCAGAGGCAGGCCCTTAGCGCACCCCGACTAAAATCCCCAAGGCCTGCATGCGGGCCCGGCACATCGCCAATCCAAGAGGCTGGCAGTGTCTGGGATGTGTCTCGTGATTCGGAGGCTGGCGCTCTAGCACCTGTTGCCGCAATTACCAATACAGGATGTGCTGAGCAGCTTGCTAATGACATGCTTGGCATGCTTGGCATGCTTGACATCTGCTCAACAGGCTGCCGATCAGTACACCCTCAGCCTTCTGCCCTGGATCAGTCTGCTGAAATCGTTGTGTGAACTGAGTGTAGGCTTTGGGCCGGCTCGCAGCGGGCAGCCCAGTTCTCGCCTGCGATGAGCCCAGCAGCTTTCACCTGTCAACTTTCCGACAGGGACGGAATAGTGCCCCTCTGACCTAGCATCATACACTGGCTACCAACCAAGTGCAAAATCGAATGCTGAGCACTGCTCATTGCAGGCTCTGCTACAAAGAGGTGAGCACTGAAACCACCCAGCAAAGGAACCAGTAAAACTACAGAGAGTTGATGTGGTGTTGGGCCCACGGCCTCCGCCTTTCGACTCAAATCGAGGGCTGTCCTGCGCATGGAAAAGCTACTTGACAACGCAGTCGTGGCAGCTACAGTACTAACAGTTCTGCCCACATCAATACATGACTGGGAAGGCAACTGCGCTCAAGATGATGCCTGCTTCTCGGGAATAGTGTAGGCTTGCTGACGCAAAGTTCGTGTTTGGGTCTAGCAGCACACGCCAAACCACTCAGACTCAGTAACTTTGGGCAGCAAACCTACTACAGCCTCAAAAGACGTTTGGAAGGCATTGATACAGGCTTCTGCAGTCCAAACCCTGTTTACCCATAAGGTCTTCAACTTGCAAGTGAAAGACCCTTGAACCTACAAGGCAGGACGCGGAGGATCAGGATGTGTCCTTGTGTAGTGCTCTGGAACATGGTGCGCGTTGAAATGGGGTGGGTACCTCGATGACTTCATCTCGTGGGTGATAGCAGCAACATGCAGCAACTTAGTGGCATAAGAGACGAGGGCACGTGGAGACACTGGCAGCATTGGCACTGTCTGGCCCGCAGATGACTCCGCGTTTTTGCTTGATCTGGACAGCATGAGCCGTGAGCAGCAGAGCAAGCAACCAGTGCACAGCTTGATTGCTCTTGGCTCTTATGATGCGGATTCCAATCTGCAACATTCGCTGTGCTCAGAAAACACTGAGGCCCCTGGCCGGACCGCACTTGTGAACCTAGCAGTGCTTCAGGCTTTCGACAGACAAAGGGTAAAATGAAAACATTAATAACGGTGCCTGTCCCGTAGCGTCTAATCCTCTGACAAACTTGTCGAGGAAACCATTCTCCAGGGCCTTATGCTACAGATTGTCCAAAACTCCTGCGCTCTCCGAATGTTTCTGTTTGAAACTGCCTTGTCTGCACGCCGCTTCTCAGCAGTAGTCAGCCGCCCATCTGCGTCTTGGTCGAAGCATTTGCCGATGAAGTAATCCAGTTGGCCCACGACTCCGTCACCTAGGTGATGCTCACAGCTTTTTGCTAGCTTCTTTCTCTTCAGAGAAGCCCGTCAAGGGCTTTCGCTGTCGAGAAAACGGGACAAAATGGGACAAGCAGGTTCCGAGCATGTTTCTGCGAAACGACGTCGCGCTTTGACGCATCATATGCATCATGTCGCTGCCGAGCCATCGAAGACACGGCAGCGGGGGCGATGTAGGCCCCCTGTCCGGTGCGGTCGCGTGGTCCGCATCGTTCAAGGTTTCTTAACCACAGGAGTTGGCGGGCAACAGACTTAGGCGTGGCGAGCCGAACGCGCACATATATGCATGTGCTGCGCAACATTCGGCATAACAGCACACAAGATGGCATGATGCGCAGAGCATAGCAGACCCCTCATTTTGTGGTTCGACGCATGCCGTCGCCGCGGATCCATCGCCGATGCAGAGCAACCGGAGCATCCAGCGGGGTTGCTCAATGCTCTCGCCCAGCGCCCCCACATTCCTGCTAAGCAACGGCACTCAGCAATGTCAAGGAGCGCATCCGGTGCCTCCATGGTGACATAATTGAAGAAGTTAGATGCCTGATAGAGCAAGTGTCACGGGACTGATCTCACCAAGCCCATGAATAGAGCTGCGCGGCCGTCGATCAACGGCTGGACGAAGAACCGCTCAAGATCCGCTTGCGCATAGCGACGGAACCCTGGTACGATGGATCCATACGCTGGGCGGCACGCTGTAGCATCGTCGGTGCCTCGATGCCCAGGTTGGCCTCCTGCACTTGACACGCCTCAGCAGAAGAAGCTCCGTGAGCTCCGGCATCCAGGACGCCATCTCCACCGCCAAGTGGCCGGAATCAGCGAGCAATGCCAAAACGGCGGTCAGGTCACTGGTCGACGAAAGCAGCGACCAAGTCGGCGCGTTGAGCGCCGAAAAGGAGCACATCAGACAGAAGAAGACTTCGCCGCGACGAACCGCCATAGCTGTATAGTATAGCAAATGTGCGCATGCATTCGTGTGCTACCCAACCGCATCGTCCCGCCCAATGACGTGATTTTTGCTTGAACCCGCGTACTGAGCATTGCCGGGTGTCTGGGTGGCGACGCTTTCCTTAGACATACCTTTAGTCTCCGTTGAAAGGCTCCTCCCCTGAGGAAATTCTCTGCTCAGCGTGCAGGTTGGCCCTAGCCTGTCGAAGTCGAATCGCTTCACCGCATTACAGAAATTCAGCTGTTGGAATCAGCGAAGGACGTTGAAGCTTGGAAGCCTCGTCTGTTCTTCCAAGCTTGGCCCTTGAGCTCCTTCGTTTCCCCACTTACTCGGTGCAAACAAGAAGTGAGAGAAGCCTGTTGAGTTGTTGAGCTGGGCAGATGAATATGATGCTGCCTTTCAAATCTGAGCCCATCGCCATCAAAGTCGTAGCTCTTTACTTCCGGAATTCGGCCTTGCTTTCTGGCCTTGCCGGCTGCCGGAGCTGCGTGTGTTTGAGAAGAGTGCCCTCTCACTCAAATCAGTGGGCTGTATCTGTATGCGGTATATAATGTGTGGTTGAGGCATGATATAGTGTGCATCTCGGCACTGCGCAAGACACAAGCACACTGTACTGCCTGCTGCAGTTCTGCTCGGGAGCGGATGGCTGGTGGTGGATCTAACCTTTTGCAGACAGATTTCTGAAGGGGCCAACGCGTAACAAGCCTGCACTAAGTTGCGAATTAATGCTCCGCCAATCATGTCTGGCGGACCACTTGGGATGCCAAACCTGCAGGCAGTGAGCAGTGAGCACCCCTCTACTCAGTCATGTCAGCATGGCTTCGGGAAGAAAAGTCCCAGACATCTTTTTCCAAGAAATGAGACTTGTCCTGCTGAAGCAAATTCTTGACAAAGGCTTTGCCTAAAGACAGAATTAGTGCACTTTTTGCTCCTTAAACGGCTTGCTGTGGTGATGGTGGCCAAAGATGTCGTAGTTCGGCACCGTGTACGGGGCCTGGTCATATTCACAGGACCGCATCAGTTGCACTTCGCAAGAGCTTCTAAACGAGCCAGGCAGTCAGGCTGCGACATTGTAAGCAGGTCAATTTGGTAGATCTACATCTGCGACAATAAGCGATAGCGCTGAGGTGCTGGGATTGCATGCGGATGCCGTTTGCGCTGGCTGCTGATGGCTGCTGTTATATGCGCTTGCGTCATGCAAAACCCAACATAATCAGACAAAAGGAGCTGTGGACCATCACTGTTGTCTCGTGAACGCTTCCAGCCGAGACTTGCGATACTTGAAACAGCCATAACCAGAGATTGTCTCAAAAGACAAAGTTTATAGTGCCCAACCTCACACAGATCGGCAAACTGCATGGTGTCCAACGCCGATACAACTAATGATTTCATGTTCAGATATTGCAAACACCTGATTTTGTTGCTTGACAAGTTCGGGAAGCCCCTGGCGCAGAACTGCGAAAAGCATCACGGAAAGTCCGCCCATGGTCTCGAAGCTTTCGTTGCACCCTAAATTAAATCCAAATGCAAATCCTTGTGAGCCTTGCCCTGAGGGTCTGAGCTTGCCATAAAACTTCAAGGCCCACATAGAATATGTGAAATGATACTTTCCACTGCCTGGTTTTGGTGATCAAGGGTCTCATCAGTCTTATCATGTATGGTGTTGATATGCCTTTGTCGCCAGCTATGGTCGGACTCTTCCATCACGCAAGGAGTCGTCAGTCTCAACTCAATCACTACCTTGTCTGCCTGGATAGGTTCCAAGCGGTCGCATTAGCTTGGCAAATCTAAATGCACTTTTTGTGCACAATCGTCGGCCTGCAGAGGATACACATATTCAATCAAATCCAGCGAGATGATGAGGAAACTTTGTTAAGAACAACACCCATCTTCCAGATATTCCGTTCGGTCGACGCACATGTCCTTGGAAGCCGGCCACATCCCGTCGCAAGGAGATGGACACTAGCTTCACGCGCACAATCTGTAGCAGTTGAATGCTACCAGATGTCCGTGAACAGGTCGAGATCAGCAAGCATGGCACCTCTTGAATGACGTGACGGATTGTGCAATGAAAGCTAGGCTGCTCCGGGCAGTCTGCCTCCGATGAAAACTGAGAATCGACGGTCTTCAGGTGCCAACACACCTGCATGTCTGCACCATTCAAGCAAGAGCTCCAAGATTGTCAAGATGGGTCCAGGGCGTATTCTAATATTGCTCGGTGTCGATCTTGCGAGCTCGGCTTGAAGCCTCTTGCCAAAGCCTGGTATATTTCTGCATTCCACTCGAGACTCGACACAAGGTGGCAGAGTCCGTAATATGCCAGCACCGGAACCTCGGAAGCAGGTACTGCCACCCGACCTGCATCTTTCCAGTGCTTCAGTCTGACATCCAAGAAGACGGAGAGACCCGCACACAACCACGTTGGCAAAGAGATCCCTGCGGATGTCCAGATCACACCTTGCAGCATGCCGCTTCCCACTTCCCTGCTCAACTTTGCCATCGTGGCCTCATGATTGAGTTGAAGATCTGAGCGTGGATGCCCTGACAGTGTGTGTCAACCGCGCGCGCGCAGCAATGGGAGCATGCCAAATCACAAAATCGATTCAGGACATGCTCCAGAACGTGCCTGCCTGCATCTCAGGCTGACCAATCAGCGAGGGATTGAACAGGGCCTCTCGCAATACAAGATGCTGCACAAAACTGCCACTGAAACCCCGGACTTCGACATGTGACACGAGCTTACAGCTTTCAGTGGCTTTCAGGCTTTCTCGGACAAGCCCCGTACCTCCGGACACTTGAAACGCTCTGAGTTCAGCCGCATCACGTTGCCATCTGGCAATTCCTCAGCTTTCGAGGCATCAAGAAGCAGTCTTGCCTTGTTCGCGACATTCATGCTTCCCGCTCAACCCAAGGCGCGTGTGTGACAGTACAGGCACTCGTTGTCTCTGCCTGGCTCCACATCTCCACTGCCCAAGCAACAGTCCTTCAGTCCATCGGTGTGCCTTCGCTAGCTCGTCATCAAAGCTTTCAGCGACGTAGCAAACCTATGCTACACGGGCAGAAGCGCATAGGACTTTAGCGCTGGAAGCAATGCGGCCTTCTCCTTCAAATCCCGTGCAATCTCCTTGGCAGCAAGCAGTACATTCCGAGCTCATCTGTGCGCAAACTGTAGCCCAAGTAGAAGGCCCCAAAGGCAATGCTGGTTTCTAACCCACCCTTACACAGAAGTTTGTGCGGATGGTACGAATGATTTGCGGGTTGCGAGTCGCTGACTGGACTTTGTAGCAGGGAATCTGGGTATTCCGCATACTGGAGAAACGAAACACTAAACCAATTCTGTTACTACATGCATGTGCTAGGTTTGGGTCGATCTGAGCCGAGACTAAAACGCTGATCTTTGTGTTTCACGGCATCAGTTTTGCTTGCTGTAGCTTACGAAACCCAGGTTTCAGCTTACGCCGCTTACTTCGATGCGTACCGTCATCAAATGTCGGCAGCCTGTAATCCTCTGAGCACTTCGGGAGGCAAAATGTTTCTCTTCGGCTTTCTTCCTGAATGTCATGTTCAGGATCTTGTTGCTGATCTTCTCAAGCTTGCCGTCTCCTTGCCAGCGAGTGAGAAAGGGACCCTGGACGGGCGGTGACTTGCTGTGACGAGGCAGCAAAGCCCAGGCTGCTATTTGTGGTTATGTTCCTGTTCTTCCAATGCAGCGTACAGCTTGAAACCTTTCTGCAACAGGAAGGGCTACTTGGAATCGCAGGAACCTATTGCTGTTTGCGGCCAGCATGCCCGCTCGGCAGTGGTCGACAACGAAGTGCCTGCTGGAGTCATAGATGATCATGTAGCGAATGGAAGGACAGCACCCCTGGCCTGACTCACCGACCAGTTTCATTAAATACCTGACGAAAGGATCTGGATGTTCTTCTGAATTTCGAAGGACATTTCCTTTCAGAACGCGCACTCCGTCAAATCTCGGCCGGCCAGATCAATTCGCGACACCGCGTGTGGCAGGAGGAACCCCTGCCACACAAATGCTCAGCTCGCCCTTCACGCCGTTAGAACCTCTGTGTGCCTCATAGACAGGCACCAGGAGGGTGACACCGTCGCCGCTGTCACACACAATCCTGCTAACATCCCAGTGCAGGTAGCTCAAGATAGCTGGAAAGCTGCTGTCCCTGTTGTTCTCCCGGATGCATACATCGCAAGAACTGCTTGGGTTGTTATGTACCTCAGCTTCACCACCAACGCAGAAGAAACCAGAGTCCAGTGACTATGCAGCCATGCCACAGTGCAGGTACGTAGAACACCTGGAAAGCTACAACGGTCTAACACAGAAGCTGCATACGCTGTGCAGAAGACCTCGAACATGATCTGCGTCATCCGCTCACGATTTGCCTGTCAAGTTGCTTGAGAAGATGAGATCACTGAAGCCCTGACGTCCTTGGGGTTCAGCGCGGCTTCAGCGAGTAGCACGGCCTGCTCCTTTGCGTCTGCCAAGTGTGATGCCGCATGACAGGGCTCACTGAGCTGCCCAGCCGTCGGTTGAACTCTGAGTTCGTTGAAGAAAGTGTGTCTCCAAATGAGCTCCATGTCCTCCCAATCCTGCATTGCAGAATCTTGAAGCAGCTTGGTAGGCAACTTCTTTGCAGGTCTGATGAAATTTGCTCAAGGTGGACCGGCTCTCCAAGCAAGTATTGAGCGCTTTGCTGCTATGCTTTGCTTGCCATGGTCATGTCAGTCCTGAACAATGCCATGCTCAACAGGGTAGGATATCTTGAGGATCCCACCTTTCGAGGGGTGCGGCACCAACAAGAATGAGGACAGGTGGTGTGCTTTTGCTGAACCATGCAGCTTCTGAAAAACATTGAGGTCCTGGCGCTTTGCTTGAGCCTCTTCTCCTCAAATCTGCAGAAGCTGCATTTGCGACAGGAGCCATGAAATGCGCTGTTGGCATTCTCACGCAAGACTTTTCATCAGGCGTCCTATGTAATGATCCTGGTCTCCGGAACCTTGCATGACATTTGCCTAAGTAACACAGGACGAAACCAACTTTTCAGTGGCGGGCACGAGGAGTCTACAGCACAAGACCAAGCGATCGCAAAGCACCTTGCAAAGCACCTTTCGACGAGAAATCAACTCAGGCCAAGGCTTGCTTTGGCCTGCCAATGATTGATGGGAATTTGCAGCTGGGCTCCTCCTGAAATGTAAGTGAGACTTGACTGCAAGCTGCTCAATTTCAGAGCTGTTCTGAACGTCCTGGCCGGCAACTCCAGCTTTGCAGATTCCACTACCGACCTTGATGGGCCAAGAGCGCCACCCGCCAGCGCTGATATGCTGATGCATGTCTGGCGCTGTGTACCGAGAAACTTGCATCTATTACCACTGTAGGCCCAAGGGCCTCCAAGACATCCAAGTGGGAGGAACGAAAACAAGACCCTCTCAGAAGACAACTTGTCAATGTGAATGCCTGCTTCCTCATTAGCAGGCAGCAGCCAGCACTAGGCGCACTCGGCAGCTCCTTGATCTTGGGAGCGGCTTTGCTGTGCGCTATGTTTGGAAAGCTGACATCTGCAGTGCTGAGTGCTTAGTAGTTGCTCGCAGCTGCTGGCAGATGATTCTGCATATGTGCTGCACGCTGCTTGAACTTGAGCTTAAGCTGGAAGAATAAATGCTCGAGCTCTGGCAACCCATGATGCATGATGCTGTGTTTCAAGCTTGGACAGGTCAGACGGGCAGATGATAATGCTAGAAAGAATGCTGCCAATTGAAACAACACGAGCATCAAGTAAAGCTTCCCTTACTGCACGCATGATCTCCGAAAAAAGCACCCTTTTCCCCACTGTTCACATGCAGACTTCAACTTCCTCCGCAGCTTCCGGACGGTTGCAGATCAAATAGCAAAGGGATGCCACACTCTAAGTGCTGCAAGCAGGAGTGCTGAGGACACGAAGCACAAGCCAACTTCCTTAGAAGCTTCCAGTCTAACATCTTGACGCCATGGACTTGCTGCTGCAGAAGACTTGAATCCAAGATCATCCAAGAATCCGCTACAACAGGCCCGTGCATACGTAGGCAAGCCACCGTCGACCAGTTGATGGCAGAATGAACGGTAAGAGTTCCTAGGACCATCCACGGAGAAATCGCTCCAAATAACGACCTGAGCATGTATACGGTCGCAGCATTTCGTAACAAATTGCCTCTGAAAAGAGACGAGCCTGGTCGGTGCCTGACACTTCTAACACCAGCACAAATGACAGGAGACATGGAGATGTGAAGCGCATGCGCGCTGCATCGCTCTAGGATTCCCCAAGCTGGATGCAAACTGAGAGGATCTTCTCGCCCAGTCTGCGCCGCTAGCAGGTGAAATGCCTTACAAGTGGGGGGAATTCTTCATTGTCAGGCGGCCTTGGAATGACGTAGGTGATACTGCAGAAAAAGCACGCCAGCAGATATGCAAGCGAGCAACTTCCACTGCCTTAGGGTCGCCAGCCTTTGCAGCTCGAAGGAGTTGTATTGCTGTGATCGACTGAACAACGGTGAAGGCGAGCTCCAGAGCCGTCCAGCCCAAACCTGAACAACAAACCTTTTTATGTGTATGTCGTAGCATGAACAACCAACCAATCTCAGCGCATGGTTCTCGCCTAAAGCGAAGGTCGCTGTGAAGCTCGCTGCCCAGCCGGACACAAACAGCATGGCTACTCGAATGCTCTCCTCACAAGGGTCAGGTGGCAAATCTTGAAAGATGGAGTTGACCGGCTGACACAACATTTTCGCCTCTGCTGGGCCAGAAAGGAGAACGGTTACCAGCTGCAACTCCGCTTGCTGCGATGGCGAATCAGTCAAGAGTGCCTGCGCTTGAGTTTAGATTTGAAATTCTGCGCGGGCTCAGGGCCGAAGGGATGTCTCCAGGGTTCTGCAGTTTTTGGTGCAGGGTTACGGAGCTTGTCAGTCAATGGCCGCACATGCTGGGCAAGGCACGCGCTGTACAGAAGCAAGGCATGCATTCCTGGGTGGAACGACGTGAGCTGAGCTGTGCTGAGTTCAAGCCTGTAGAACTCCACAGAGGCAGGACTTTGTGACTGTTGCTAACGCATTTTTACTGATTCAGGGCCCCAGGCGGTTTATGCTCGGATGGTTAACGGCTCAGTGGTTTAAGGAGGTTGGGGACACCCCATGTCGGCATTTCAGGGCATAAAGGCCTACGCACGAAGACGCGACCCTGCAAGCTGACAGGTATTCTGCGGACGCGACCCCGCAAGATAGCGCGCACTCAATCGCAGAGACCGGAATTTCATGTGTGGCAGGGCGCCTTAGTCCATATTTGGGCTTTCTGCCAGAAAATGTTTCAAGGTGGTCACTTTTCGGAGACGGGCTTCAGAGCTTTCAATCTTGCCTTTTCGCTTGTGTATTTAATATCGTAGTTTCGTTGAAAATCACATTCTGGCGTCTCGAGAGTAGAGCTGCTGAAGTTCTGAAGTCTTGAGCTCGTGGCCAAGCCCCAAGTGCCGCAAGATTGCTGCAAGATCCAAGATGTGAACGTGAAGCATTCGAAACAGCTCATGCTCTAGCCTTGGTTCCCAAGATGAAGGGGACGCGAAAGACCAGCGCCGCCCACCAGCCACCAGCACCCCAGAGGAGAATCACCCAGTCCACGCGCGCCTGGGTTCGAAAGGCTGATGCAACACTCACTGTTGCTTCGCTCACTCACATGCCTCTACGTGCTCCTAGTCAGTGCTCGTGCTTTAGGGTGGCATCGTTCATCCAGTAGTAGGCGGCAAGAAATGGAGCTATAGAAATGAGAACGAACCTAAGCTTCAACGCACTTCTTGCGCTTGCGGCTTTGAGCTAGTGCCACCAGTGGACATCACGTAATTAATTGACGAGCCGGTCTAGAACGAGAGGCGGCAGGCAGCAGCGCACCTTCCGAGAAAACTCCTCAATCTCTTCTTCACTTGGAAGCGGTGTGTAGTCCTGCATGCCTGGCCAGGCTTCACCTTCCTAAGCGCAGAGCACAAGCCAAAAGGACTTCGCAGTCTGCTGCAACTGCGCTTGTTTGTGATATGCTCTTCTCCACTCTGCCTGAAATGAGGGTCGCCGCGTTCCTGCAAGTTGCTGCAACCCAGAATCAGAATGCAAAAAGCCACACAGCGCGTTCCATCGCCGAAACTCACAAAACAAGGCAAGGAATGTTCCCTCTCCATTGATACGCAATGCTCAGCCCCTGAGGTTCGCCGTGTCACGATGCACCCCTGCGTTCGGAATAAATCCACACGCTTATCTACGCATGTAAGAACTGCAAGGATGCAGATGGATCTGCTTGCTTTCTGCAAGGTCTCCTGGACACTGCAAGGCACTGTGAACAGCGCTGGCCATGTAAATCAGCATCTTTTTTCCAGCCCGTATGCTGTAGCGCAGCACACAAGGATTCAGGAAGCAATGCCTGTACATGCTGGGATGTGAGCATCATGCCATCCACACGCTGGCTTGCTTTGACGGGCTCAGAGAGCTTCTGTATTAATCTTTGGAAAGGTTGCTTAAGCTGGCTGCAAAGAAGCCGTGCGCAGTACTGTATGCGGATGGTCCTGACCTCAGATTGGGCTAGGCAGGTGCTTCAGGCGTGGGGTTTTGTGAAGAGGCGCTGAGTAGCCACGTCAGTGCACATGTGACACGGATGTTGCGGCAGCAAACCAACTCAACTCATTTTAGTCTGAAATGGAATGACCGAAACGCCGTTGTGGCGCCTGAGCATGCAGCCACTTGTCACCCTCACGCCAGAAAAACAAACGGTACATAGGACATGAGCAGACGGTTACCGCTCAGATCTTCCATGTCGTCTAACGAATTCTCTTTCACACCCGCATCATCAAATGATGAACTGGCCGGAGAATGCAACTACGCTCACTTCCTCGTTTGTGTGCCCCCTCTCCGTGTCGCAGTTGATGTCCTGGTCCGTTGTTGGAGATTTCGTTTGCGACCAAAACAAACATCTTTGAACAATTCTCATGGGCTCTCGGTGGCCGGCTCCTAGTCCACTGCCTTTTTGTTTTCCCTTTAGCAAGCATAAGACCGCCCATTAGCTCCGACATTGACGGTCATCCTGCAAATCTTTCCCAAAACCATTTCCAGTTCCATCCTCATCTATGGCCACATCGACCGACGAGGAAGCAGCACGAAGGATGCGTGCCCACCCTCCATCAGAGCCCCACCTTTTGGACTGGCTCGCAATGGCCAGTGGGCGGGCTCCAACGGTCGTTCCAAGAGGCACAGTGGCCCCGCCATTGCTCCAGCCAGGCACACTTCTCGTGGACAGGACAGATGCACATTGAACAGATTGACCTTGCTGTGTCATTGCTCTAGCTTCAGAAAAAGGTACTCAACTTCATGTGGGGCCATCACAGCAAGGCCGTGTTAAAATAGGCCTTGTACAAGCCGGTATCACATGATGGTCGTTTCAAGATCCCGCCTGTGCCGGCCGTAAAACCATGGGCTCCCTGCTGGACTGCAATCCAACCAACCTCCTCATCCTGAACGTTAGAGCCTCCATGCTCAGATGTTTCGGCCATATCCAGGGCCACCTGGCTTCCCACCATTTCTCCCACCCACCAAGCTTTTGCAAAAAATCAAGTCTACATCTGAGTGGAATACCCAGGCATCAGCCGGGTTCACACTGTTGACGCCCACCTGCAAAACATTCAGATACATCCTGCTGCACTGTGCCCCTAAAGCTGCTAAGTCACAGTAAACCAGGGGGTTGAATCAGCAGCTGGCAAGCCAACTTCGTTGTTTACGGTCTGGATCATGGTCAGGAAGGCGGGCTTGACAGGGAATTGGTGCTGGAAGCTCACTTTTTGCCATGATGTCTGAAGCCCTCCTCCAGGACAGACGCTGACTTGCAGGTAAAGTGGAGACTCGTGGGCATCACAGAATATCAGAAAAAGCCAGGATGCGTGGATTTGAGCTTTTGACATCCCATGGCCTGGAGGTCGGCACTTGTTCTGGGCTGCGAGCTTTGAAGTTGAGGTGCGACCAGCTTCAAGCCAGAGCCCACCTGCACAGCGCAGAGAGAATAAAAATAGGCCGTTTTGCCACCATGAGGCTTTTGCCTCCGAAGCCCCTCAGCCCGTTCAGGGTTGACACAAACGTGATAGCTCCATCTTCGCCCGGAGCTCTGACAGCTCAGACTCCGGAGCTTCGTATTTCAAAACGGGCGCTTCTGAAAACACCTCTGACTTACAGTCTGATCGCGATTCACAATGCCCGTCTCTCAATGCCACAAAGCACGCCACCCCCAAAAAGCCAGGACAACAAAAACAGTTTGAAGCTTACTTACTCAAAGGTGCTGGGAGCTTGTCCCGAGGTGCCAGGTTCGGCTGACCTATGTGCTTAATTTTCTGTAGGGTTGAGAGTTGCAGGTTTCTTGTGCCCTTGGTTGAAACATGTTCCTACCATCGACAATCACTCAGCAGTTCTGGCTTCGTAGTAGGTCCTGACAACAAGGCTCTCAAGAGAAATCGAAATACACTGCCCGGGCAACAGACAATGGGGACATTGAATTGTCAGTCGACTCTTGTGGGGGGGGGGGCTTGATGCGCCCTAAGCGGCCTGCCTTGGAGCTGAGACGCACCAGCCGGCATTGCCATGAAACTCACAGTCATGATAATCTGCGGGCTGCCGACTATGTTGCTGCCTGGCGGTGTTGCGACAATAGCCTGGAAGCTGCTGTTGGTTACTCCTTTGATTCGGACACTTGCAGGGAGGCCACCTTCGCCAGAGGGTGCAAGCACAACGACTGGAATGTCAGCAAAAGCGGCGGTAAAGGCCACACTGGTCCATACCCCACTTCGCAAAGTCACTTCACCGACCTGCAGACTTGCAGATCCTGTGAAGGGGATTGTTGTAGTCGTTGTAGTGGTCATGGGCCCAATGGCAAATGCTGTAGACCAAGCAAGGATGCTTGCCACTTCGCCTGTATGCGCGCGTTCTCTGTCGCAGTAAACATCTTCGTCAACGTGAAGGCTTACCGAGGAGCTGGACGAGCTGGACAATCGGAGCCAACCACCATTCTCTCCGTTGCGCGTCGTCTGGCTGGCCACCACGAGAGGTGCGCTGGTCATCAAGTCCACACCCAGCCCCACCTCCGTGGCTCCATCATCTACACCCTTCACATCCGTTCCTGTCAACACGGCACTGTAGGTGACTGATGCTCCCAGCTCTGTATCGAAGCTGCCGTGTCCAACTTCCATGGCCACATACCCCATTTGCTCTGAGAGACTGACATCTCCGACTTTGGAGGTCTCCGCTGACTCCAAGGCAACTGACAGTTCCGCCTTGGAAAGCTGGTGACACGCTAAAGTGAGCCATGGCTTGGAAAAGAATCTGGGCACGGCCCCTTTCTCGTTGTTGGCTGTCTGCAAGTTTGCTACCACAGCAGGCGCAGAAAAGAATGGTGTCTGGAAGCTGACTACGTCCCAGCCTGCCACGACTCCTTGAGCCTTGCAGCTAGTACCGATTTGTCTTGCTGAAATCTCCTTCCGCCCGGCTTCGAGACGCTTTCCGTCAGGAAGCGTGTGCACTCCGGGTAGAACAGCCATGTAAGACACCGCCATATCTGACCGGTTGGCGACGGTCGGACCAGGCGGAACCACAATTAAGGCCTGAAAGCCAGTCGCAGACACTGATTTGATTCGCATGGTCAATGGGACGGGGGCCCCCACACCACCATCCCCCGGCAGCACCACCACTACAGGCGGCCCCTCGAAGTAGTTCTGGAAGGAGATGCTTTGCCACGCAGTACTGTCGCCTCACAACTTTTACCATGTGTCAAGCTAGACAATTCACATCAACACTGAGAAACCCCACCTCTGACCATCGCTGTGCCAACTTCAACCATCGCATAGCCGCTTGCATAGGTGGTCGATACAGAAGACGTGCTGGTAGCCATCGGAGTCGTTGTCGTTGCTGTGGTGGTCGTAGTGGTTGTGGCGGTCGTGGTGGTTGTGGTAGTCGTCGTAGTTGTGGTGGTTGTGGTGGTTGTGGTTGTTGTAGTGGTCGTCGTGGTTGTGGTGGTTGTGGTAGTCGTCGTAGTTGTGGTGGTTGTGGTGGTTGTGGTGGTTGTGGTTGATGTTGTGGTCGTTGTGGTGGTTATAGTCGGCGTGGTTGTGGTGACCATCGTTGTTGTGGAACTTGCAGGGCTCGTGCTGTATCCGCCTGGCAACTCAATGCTGTCTGACCAAGCTATCAATGCTGCTTGCTCACTGGTGTGCTTCCTCTCATCATCGCAGTATGTATCTTCGTCAATGAAGATGGAGACTGATGAGCTAGCCACGGAAGAAACTCGAAGAAATCCACCGTCGCTTCCTTCTCGAGTGATTTGGCTCCCAATCAGGAGAGGAGAAGTGGTCTGCAGGTCTGTCTGCAAGGATACCTGCGTGACACCATCATCCAAGCCTTTTACAACAAGTCCAGTAACCAGCGCCGTGTAGAAAATCTGTTGCGAGGCAACCTGAATGCTTCCTTGCCCCACCTCCATGGCAACGTACCCCACTTCCTCCGGCACTGCGACTGTTCCGACACTGGCCGTCTCTCCAGACTCCAAAGCAATCTGAACAGACAGCGCCGACAGCGAAGACGCAGCAACGGCAAGCCACGGCTTAGAAAACGTTGCTGGTACGTTTCCATCCTCGTTGTGGGCGGTCTGCAACGTGAGCATGAGCGCCGGAGGCGCTCCAAACGGGCCCCAGAAATCAAGCGTCGCCCAGCTTCGGGACACAGAACCCTGGCAGTTGGTGGAGGCTTGTCTGGCCATGGTTTGCATGCGCCCAGCTTCGAACCTTTTGCCATCAGGAAGCTGATGAACACCAGCTGCCGCTGCCATGTATGAAATTGACATGGCAGAATGGTTTCCAGATTGACCCGGTGGCACAGCAACAAGTGCCTCAAATCCGTCTTTGGTGACACCCCGAATTCGAACAGTAGCAGGAACTGCCTGTCCCGATGGGAGTAGAACGATCACGGGCGGTTGCTCAAAGGGGCTGCGCAAGTTGAAGAGTTGCCAGCCACCTTGACCTGCGACAGACTTGCCAACAAGTCAACTGTTACAGCAACCGCCCAAGTTTCTCCACCATCAGATCAAGACCAGCCTGTCACAGTGATCTCCCCAACTTCCAAGAAAGGACCGGACACAGGCGGGGGCCGCTCCCGCGTTGTGGTTGTGGTGGTTGTCGTGGTTGTGGTGGTGGTTGTAGTAGTTCCAGTGGTGCCGCCAATCAACCTAGCAGAGCACTTCAGCATGGAGAAGTCGACAACATCCAAGGGGTAACAAGTCAAGCTGAGGAATCCACCGGCATCTGTAGGCATCTAAGACACCCCTTATGTCACCCTCAGATAAATGGTCGCGATTGCCAACCAGCTTGTTATTTGACGTGGGGATCGCATCGAAGTAGTACCCGTTAGCAATCGTGCGATTGCTGCTTCTCTGTCGGTAGTAGTGCATGATGCTCTCCTTGGACATGGCAGGTCACATGGAAATTGTGCAGATGGACAACTAGCCTATAACCTATTGGACGATGCCATTTTCTTGCGGACAGACTGGGAAAACCTCAGTACTTTCTAAACAACACAATTGGAGCCCCACAAGGAGGCAGTAGCGAAACTGAGGGGTTCGTGATTAGCTTGAAGTGCAAGCACATCTAAGCTGGGATGACGCTCTACGCTCTCTGACATGGCAAATCTGCGGCAAGACTCGTAGTCGTATGCGGCATGACCAATTTGCGGATCCGCTCCACCATCATCAGCCGAGCCGATGTACGTCCTCTCTGAGGGAAGGTACTGTGACACCCATCGACTGTCAACGTTCTCCCAGTACATTTTCAAAGCGGGGCCCTTTCCATAGTACTCCGCTTGAGCGTCTGCCCTTTTCTGCTCGTGGTTGATCCCCAGACCTGCAAGGCATGTTTTGGATCTTGCAAGCACGGACCATGCACCGCTATGCACCTGAGTGAAGCCGAGCAGCAGTGGCCGATTTCATGGATCATGCTACCTTTGTGATTCATGTTCTTGCACCATCCCAAATTAATCCTTCCACGGCTGGAAGGCCTGCCCAAATTGGACCAGCAGCTCCCAGTATCGTAGATACCAATCAAATAAAAAGGATAACTGGCGTTGTCATCCTCAATCACTGCAACACACGTGTGAGTGCGCCAGTCCGCTGCCGCCGCTCTGAAGGCCTCTTTCCGGGTGTTGTCCACATCTGTGTCAAACTTGTAACGCACTATCACATACTCCTCCCACTGTGGAACCATGCCCTCCGGTGCCTCTGTGGTACGCTCAATCCATGGCCGACCAGCTTGGCAACCAGGATTGTCATTGCAAGGCCTCTCCCACATGGGATTGGCTAAGCCTTCACCGCCTTGAAGGAGGCTTTCATCAGTTGGCTCTCCATCATCAAATGGCACGCCATCCTCCAATACCGCGGGAGTAATTCGTCTACCTGCGACCACAGAATCGACGTAGGCCATAGAGGCAGCACTGAGCTTGATAAAGCGCGCACGGACCGATCCGCCTCCTTCAAATGGGCCCACCCAGCGGTAAACTCGCATCGGGCATGAATCTTGGGTCTCGCAGCTGCTCAAAGGAGATGGCAAGGTGAGACCAGGCCGGGGGATTCCTCCCCAAACGGCTCGGTTCAGGCGAGTTGCCCCACATCGGCATTCATCATTCTCAACCAAAGCAAATAAATCTAGGCCTTGACTAATGCAGAACTCAAAACACAATGGCGCTGTGAGCTCGTTCGACCGCATTCTGAAAAACCTCAGATGTCTCATAGCGGCCATTTCAGGCTTCCAGCACAGACTGAAGACAAAGGCACGGCATACCACCACGGCATGGTGTATCCTGGAAGAGCCAATCTCGAATCGCAACGTGCAGTTCTGGGCTGGTTAGTGACTATTGGCCTGCAAGGCTCGATGCTCGATCAGGTACACAAGGGGAGGTGAGCAGTCCTGATTCCAGTCGATGCAAATCTCGTCAGCCCCATCTTCCGAAACATTTCCGTCATCTCCTTCAAAAAGAAACAGGACTCATAGCGGTTCTGCGTCTGATCTTGGAAGGTACTCCGGCCGTTCATTTGGCGAGTAAAACTGACGAGGACATGAAGGCCTGCTGCGAAGCAGCCCATGCATTCGAAGTTGGTGTCAGATTCCACCTGCGCGTCCGTGTCGTCACCTCCAGCTCAATCAGCTCAAGAGCTCAACAAACGACTTCATCACAGCAAGGCAGCAAGATGCCACAGGTGACACCAGGCACAGTGTGCACTCCGTGCCTCCTTCGAGCTCGTCCTCAACATCGTCGATGGGCTCACACTGGTTGGAGCAACCCATAACGCCACAGTGGCACCGCCTCCAGTCAAACGTCTCTTGAGTCTGTTCTGCGCGTGAACTGAGGTCGTCCAAGTGCTGGTGCCTGAAGCGTCTCGGCTTGGCATACTGCTCGCAAAGAGCAGCAGGCAGCAGATCTCCATCAGTCGAGTTGCACGTCACATTGCGTTGCTGAAAGGCCAAATTTGGTCGCGACTTTTTGAGAGAGGACAGGCAAATTCGAGTGCAATCCCCGTAAGCTGAGGCCACCCAGGAAGCATGTTGGTGCTCGGAGGCAACAATCACGCCTGAAGTCGAGCGATGCCTAAAGCAGGGCAATGTGCAGTTGACAGATAAGGCTACCAAAGCAATCCAAGGGGCTGGATAAAAAGGGTTCCACTACTGCGTGGACAGGTATCAGAGCTTGGAGGTTGCAAAGGGACATCATCTCCTGCTGCTTGCTGAAATTGCATGCTGGCAGCCAACATGTACAAAGAAGGTGTCATTTCAATCTTCAACCGTTGCTTCTGACCTGCCGCGTGTGGCAGAAGGCGAATTATCAGGTAGACGCCAGCCTCTTTTGAGTCGTTCAGGACAACTCGGGCTGCAAGCACCAATCAAATCTTTGTGAGTACTCAGCTGGTTTGGAAAGATGCTGAGGAAGTCACCAGCTTGAGCATACTGCGCCAGAATCGAGAAGCTTAGTAGAGCGTAGGCAGTTGCTTGGGCCCAAATGGCTACATGCCCATGTGCTGCACAGCCTGGTCAAGTTGATCTGTACGACAACTCCCGAGGAGCGCAGCTGATGAAGTCGAGTGTATGTGTGCCTTTTTCATCCATCTAAGATGCATCCAGTGATCTGGTCCGCTTCCATTTCTGCCAAGCAGAAAAGAAGTTGTGCCTGCGCATGATATTGCCTCATGAATGCGACAGGTAAACCATACTAGTCATCACACACCTGCAGCAGCATGCCAACAAATAGCACCAGCCGTCACTGTGTCACTAGCGCAAACGAGCTGCAGCAGTTCGTGAAAGTCCTTCGCGTCATCTCCGCACCGACTAGTTTCCTGTGATCCGTATTAGCTGATTGGGCCCTCCAAATACAGAATGCAGTACCGAAAGTCTTGTTCCGACACCTCCCACGCCAAGCTGCTCTCGAAGCTGATCATCCACGTCCTGATCCAATCCACGACAGCGAGGGTCGTTTGGAACGAGAGTCTGAAAGATCCCGTTCGAGTGCAGCTCTTTCCTGAAGCATGCATTGGTTGAAGATCGGTGCAGAAATTCTCTGTCTGTGTTTTGAAGTTGCTTTGCTTTGTCTTGCTTTGCCCTGCTTGAAGTTGAGGAAACCTTGCGCAGGTCCTCTCGTCACGACTTTCGGGCGCTTGATGCAAGAGAATTCTTAGAGCCGGCGAGAACTTCCATTCAAGCTGCCAAACAAACTGTTTGTTGTTCAGGCATTCTCGGTCACTACGGTGCCTCTGCCTCTCTCTCGCTCTCTCTCTCTGCTTCTTCGGGCTATACCCAAAAGGAGCCTCAACGCCTTAGGAACCACCAACTTGAGGGGCGAGCAGTAGAAAAAAAGGAGGGAAGGTACATGCCAAAAAGAAGCACAAACCTCGTCGAGGGCCCTTGTCCGCCTCACTTTGCACTCCACTTTTCTTTCCACTCACTTTCCACTGCCTTCTCCTCTCCAGTTTCCCCGTTCGTTGCTCCACTTTTCACTCCACTTTCCAGTCAACTCTCCACTCTACTCTGGAATCCACTCTCACTTCAGTGTCCACTCCAGTTTCCACTCCACTGTTGTTCACTTCACTCTCTGCGTCACTCACCACTCCACTCTGCACTGTACTCTACACTCCACTCACCAGTCTACACTCCTCTTTCCACTCCATTTTCCACCTCGCTCTCCACCTCACTTTCTACTCACACCTTTCCTTCCACTCCACCCCATTCCGCGGTGGCGCAAGTTGCATTGGCCCTGCATTCTTTGCCAAAGTCCAAGAGCCATGACAGGCACGAGGATGGCGAGTCTGACTGCTCCTCCCCCTCCAAATCTACAGTTTCTTGTGAACGGATCACGCTCGACCCCCCCCCTGCCCCCTGTGACGCTGTGATATGTCACACCATATGTCATTTTCCAAACCTTGAAAGTCTTCAGTGCTCAAGCAAGACTAAACTCAAGCCTAGCTCCGCTTTCGCGATTAAGCTAGTGCTACCAAATCCTCCTTGTTGACGGCTCCGACTTAACTCTCCTCCTTCAATTTGGACCGGAGATCGGGACTGGCTGAAAGTCCTTGTGCTGAACACCGGAAGAGAAAGGAGAAACCAAGAACCCAACACCTGCCATCGAAGGTCCTTTACACATCTTTGAAGAAGGTGCTGGAGTGGAGCGTCTTGCAGCATGTTTGCCAACAAAAACGGTTTGCCACCACCCCGCTCTCAGCTATCGCTACTCTTGGCTCGCTCTCTGTCTGTTCCTCTCTCTCTCTCTCGAGCCTTCGGCGCAGGATTCTGCAGCCCCTGTTCCACTCAAATGCCCATGCCCTACAAGCCTCTCGCGGATAACAGTGCAGGCTCACTTCCAACTTCTCCCATGCTCCAGCTAGTTGAGAAACCATCTGTGTCGGCGATTTGGCAGGGAAGGTTGTGATGATTTTCGGGCTTTGGTATGTCACGAATGCCAACGCACGGATTCTCCCCAACTTCTGCTGCCTGGCCTTTCCATAGCATTTCCTTAACAACTCCTTTCACCTGCCTCATCATACGCCTGTTGCTGAAGGTGGCTCCCATGAGCGCCAATCAGCTTCCAACGCGCAAGGAAAGAGCAGCATGTTCGGTAGCAAACCCCTCATTTCCAATTGCAGCCTACATGGTGTACCCTGGTTCCCCACGCCACAAGCTGATAAAAGCTGTGCAAGGTGTCAAACCCGTTAAGGTCCTGCCTTTGTCTTAACTAGGGAGGCTTGATTGTGTTTCCAGGGCTTTCTAGGGTATACTACATGCACATATAGAAAGGTATGTAACGACGCACGGATTAAGAGCCCATACTGGGGGTGCAGAGTTCCAACCCTTCAATCCCATCAGGCCCGTGAGCTTAGATACCCTTCTTCCCTTCTACATGAGCCATTCGCTATCCGAGGGTTGTGTGAGGCTGTGCCGCGGGCTCGTTGCGTCCCTTCATCAACCTCTACTTGTGGGAAGTGAGCATTCACTGCGTGGTGCCTTGTTGGGACTACCAGATGCCTAACTAGGACAGATCACTAACTCTCTGTGGCGCATGTGGCTTACATTGCCAGATGCCATCCTCCTTTATCCTACACGCTGTTTTTTACTAAGCGTCATGAGCAGTTGGAGACCACCACCGCCGAATACGAACATCTGAATTGTTCCGAGAGTGTACGCCCTCCTTGGCCGGACGTACAGTTCTTGACATTTTCAGCCAGCAACACCGGTCAGAATAAAAAGTAGAGGTTCAGGAACTTGCCGCGCGAGATCGGATGGCCGAGTTTGGCGTAGGAAGAAAGCAGCGAAGTGATCATTGCCTCCTACCAGCTGGCCAAAAATTTGGAATATTGAATATGAGCATGGATGAGTGGATGAGAGAACACATGACATCAGTCCTCATTCTGATCAAGGAACTCCGGCTCTAAGAAATGCCAGTTCCAGGCCCACTCTTGCCCGACATTGTTTACACAGCTTTGCTGCCAATCGAACCTTGCAACCATCGTAGTCAAAAAAGACTGCTTGTTCGCTTCCAACTCTGACTTAGCAGCAGTCCCATCTTCAAATGCCCAGCACCATCGCGCCAATAGAAGGCATTGTCGGTAGTGAGGTCGTTGTGACCAAAGGCAACCTGACATTGGACATAGCAGACGCAACCAGCGTGGATGAAGCAGATGTTTACAGTATCTAAGTCTTTCTGCAGAAGGTACATATATAGTCAAAGAAAGCTGAAGGATCTCAAGTCAGGACAGTCAGACTCTGGTCATGGACTTCCTGAAAGAGGGGGAAGCCTCCGGGAAAAGGATGTCAGGCGTGGTGGGAAGGGGGTGCAGACTCCATGTTGACGTTTCAGACAAAGTCATTTGCAGCCCCCATCTACACAACCTAAAAAACTGAACAGGTGCCCCACGCTGTTGAAATACGAATAGATTTCAACCCTTGCCTGGCATGCAGTGTGCGGCGGCATACAATTTTGCGGACATGGCTGTTCCGCAGGAAGGCCAAGAATCCTGTTTGTTGGCAGGGCTTGCTGGTGTGCCTTGAGAGAAGCGAGGAACAAGAACCTCCCAGCAGAAAAGCCCTCAAGCCAGCATCACATGAAGCACTCCCTTGAAATCGTTCGCCAAACAAATCATTGTTGACAGGCTTCGTGCTCCTTCCATGTTGCATGTTCGGGAAAGTGATCAACGACTATTCACGCGAGGCATTTCCAAGGTACTACTGATTACTACCGCTGAATTGTTACAGTCGCCCTTCACTCACTTTTCTATCGGTTCGGTTCTGAAAAGAGTAACGGAGTCGCGTAACGTCACTCGCACTCCGTTCCATAGCTCAGATGTAGATGATAGAAACCAACAACGTCGAAGTTGGGACAGACACCTGATTGACCACTTCGTTCAGCCGGCCAAAACGACGACGAACTTCCAAATGAGACAAGCAGTGGTTGCAGAACCTGTTTCCACGTTCTGGCCCATTCTGTGATGCTCTTTAAAACCTATCTGCACCAACCGCATAGCGGCGCTGCCGCAACAGTTGCTGCCAAGGAGCCATGTCCCTTTCGAGCGCTAAGCTTGTGAGAATGTCAGACATGTCCCAGATCAGCTCCCACTCCTAACAGAAAGAAAGAATATCAGAGAATTACTGAAAATGGGAAAAACCAAACTCCTTCTTTCTTCCCGCCCGTCTCCTTTCCAACCAGCTCCGGGGGGCAACTCCAAGTCATCCAGTCAGCATTCACACGCTTCCCCTTCACTGTCTTTTGCACCGTCTGCTTCAGGCCCATCCAGCCGCTGACCATGCAGAGCAACCACATTTGCCCTTGAGTACCAGCAGACGACAGTGGATAGGGATTGACTCACTGTGAACATGAAGGCAGATCCCTAGTTGAAGATCAGTCTCGGTGGGTGTGGTGAAAGCGAGGCATGTGACTCACCACGGCACTGGAGCTGTTGATCAAGAACCAGGACCGCACATGCAGCCTAGCGCCAGTTTCAACGAAGAGAAGCTGCTCCTCTAGCGTCTACAGTCTGCAAGCATCTGCAAGCCCTGCAGATGTTCTAGGGGTTTTTTGCTGGGCTCTGCAAGGCAATAGTCATGTCCTCCAGCGTTGCGGCATCGCGAACTCGATGCTTCAGCGTGTGGAATTCGCCTCCGAAACCCAGCACTTCCGTCAGCAGGCAGAACTCGCCTGAACGCAGGATGCTCATCCTGAGGCATACAGATCACCGACATGATTGCAACAGGAGCCTGTTGTGGAGTTCAGGTCCACGAAGAAGCCTGAACCAAAACTCATTCCAGGCAAATCCAGATGGCTACAGGACACTGATGCTGCTCAGAGGCACTTTGGCGTTCGGAGGCAATCCACGATCTCCGGGGCCAAATGATGATAAAAGAGTGCCTCGCACTCGCACACATCGGATGTAGCCACCAGCAGGCGCATGGCCCCAAGTTTTTGCAAGTTGCACTTCAGGAAGAAACGGGATGGCAGCTCAACAGACCCAGAGTAGCTGACCTCCAGCACGGCCTTGTCTCCTTTGACCCCATCTGCCACCTTCTTTTCCAGATTCCGCACCGAAGTGACCACTACGCCATCCGGCAGGTGCTGCCCAAACTGAAGCATTTTGGTCAGCAGCGCCGGTCCGGATGGGGACGTCAAGTCGTCTACCTCGCTGCTAGGCTACAATCCCGTGGTGAAAAGCCCATCAAGGCTGTTAAGCACGATCTGGAGGAATGCTCAAAGCAAGTCTAGCGGCGCAAATCGGGAAAACCAGCCCCGTCAGCTTTCCCCTTGCATGTCGGCCTGCAGAGGGCAAGCTACCACAAGCATAAACCACGGATAATTGAACGTTTTGCTCCAGATGAGTTTGGGAATTTGCCACGCACAACCCTTTGCAACGTTCATCGCAAGCTCAAGTCCTAGGCTCGGGTCTACGCTCACAATGGCTTTTTAAGTTGGCATTGGCGCACATGCCAGTCAAGACTGATGCTCCAAGATGGTGATAGGCCTTTGCAGCACATCATCTTCAGCAAGGTTGTAAGAACACCCAGCACCATCGTTTCACGGAGGTACAGGCAAACGCCGCTGACCTGTGCTCTATGGCTCGCAAAATCTTAAGATTCACGAGGATTCGCGAACAGGTGCATGTCGGTCCATTTGACTGAGTGGCCACGACCACGCAGAAGGTCACAGCATAACTCCATGGCATCTGATGACTTGCCGCAGCTCAAACTGCAGAAGCCGCAAAGATAACCCCAAGGTTTATGCTGGTGCTTGGAGGCAGGGAAAAAGCCAACACACTGACATCGTGCTCGTATCAGGTCACACGCGTCGCTGGCCGAATACTGTAGACTGTAGAGGAAACGGCTTCTTTTTCTTTGCTCTGCGAATGCCTAAGTCAAACTGCTCAGCGTGTCGTGGTCTCATCCTGAGGTTTCCCAGTATTTGCCAAGCCACGGCACAAAGTCAGACATCAACAAACTTCCCCTTTAGTGGCCTTCTCCAGCCCGAAGCACTCCAGCACAGCCACAGGCCACAGAGCCGTCACTGGCCGTCCGGAAGTGGTCTTACACCGGTCCCGCTTGCTGCTTGGCTCGATTCAACTTTTCCAGCTCCAGGACCAGGGTGCCAGTATGTGCCAGTCCAGTTGCCCAGCAAATCCACCAACAAGATCGTTCCTCTCCATCCCGCGCGGTTCGGAACTAAGTCCCGCCTGACCCAACTCGGTCCAGCTTTTGCTGCAGCATCTTCCTGCAATCAAGCATTACGAACACCAGGGGTGAGGATCCAAATTCAAAGTTCAAACACCTCAGTATCAAAAAACATTGCTTTAGAATAGGGCTCGGAACAGTGTAGATGGCACGGTTCCAATCGTCAGAAAGCAAATAAAGGATCAAAACGTTCAGTACTGCAGTTGGAGTTAGACAGCCTCAAGGCTGCGACCCCCCCCCCAATTCCAAAACGTGAATCAAAGACGGAGACCTGTTGGTGTAAGAAAACATTTTGGGTCCTTTTGGGCCCTGTACAGCATGAGGGGCCACAGGAGGCCAGGGCCGCTGGCTCTGTTTGCCGGAAGTCTACTCTTCGGGTGTGGTCTTTGATCCCTGCCCCAAGGCTTCAGCACAGCCGTCCTCTGCACTAGGCTCTTCGCAAAAGCCATCTGCTTCTTCCAGAAAATAGGAACCTTGTAAACGATGCCATGTCAGTTAATTCTCAACACACACACACACACACGCCCACAAAACTTTTCACTCAGCAGCTGAATGCAAATTACTTGAGGATCTTGAGGCTTCCTAAGGGCAGCATGTGTGGGACTGCTCAGTGTCTATTAAACTGAGAGACGCCAGCGAGCGTGTTGTGGTCAGCGTCAAGCACGACCAGCTCTCGCTGGCTTGCATTGACAGCGGCCTCGTCATGCTTCTTGGCGTTCTCGACGGTCACCTCAGGGCTAGCACATTGCTGGACCTGGACTCGACTGCCTGGGGAAAGCTCAGGCCGCAGCGATGAAGTCATGTTCCCCATGCAAAACCAGCACTGCTCCCCGGAAGCCTCGCAAAAAGTCCTCGCTTCCCAGGATCCGCAACTGAGCCTTCAGAGCTAGTAATTGGAGCAATACTCACGGTTCATGTTGCACCGGCCACGAGTCACAGGTTTTGGCCTCACCAGGTTCACACCCTGTAGGTAAAGATGCTCGAAGTGCTTTCGAAAGCTCCTGGCAGGGGTAGTCGTTGCTCGAAGCTGAGTTGAAATGGCATAACGTCCTCGAACATATGCGCCTTAGCTCAGGAGGGAAGACGAGAAAAGGTGAGCTGAGTCGCTGGCGGCAGAGAATACTCACTGTGCTGCATGCAAGGCGCGGCCTGTTCAGCTGAGTCTCCAAGCCATGAAAGAAGTTGATCATAACGCTCAGCTCCACTTGTGGCGAAGCCAGAATCCAAAATCAGACCGTCAAATCGCTCCTTTCAACAATGACAGACTACTTCGCGGCTGGCTCTTCTTCTTCTTCCGAAATCTTTAGGTACAAGTCAGCATGCTCACGTACCATTGAGATGGCCGCGTCAGCAACAAGTCTACAGTTCTGCTCAAAGAAGCACATATGAAGCTCTGACATTCGTAGCACTCGATGTGCTCAAACATCGCACAGGGATCGATGCCACTGGCTCTGATGAACGGTACGCATGAGGGTACGCACCCTGCGCCTGCCTCGACTTACTTAAGTGGTCCCGGATGAGCTGCAGGAGCAGCGGGCACGCTTGAGGGTTGCTGCGGGGGTTATAAGTTGTTTCATGCCAAATTTCACCCCCTTGCCTTAAAGAAGGCAATCAGCTTTGCAAGTATCACCCGCTACGGCCCTTCAATTGCCTTCGACATACAAGCCAAATCAAGAGCCTGGGACCTGAGCCGCTTGCCGTGGGAGTCAAGCCAAACAACAAGGTCACGCAAGCCTTGAAATAAAGCGTACTTGGGACACGTCCACCCATTTCATGGAAACCTTGCCAACTATCAAGGATACCTACAACAACTTTGATCCACACTTGGCCCTCCAGCAGCATGCGCAGCTCGTAATCATCAAGCAAGTGGCTAACACTTGCTAACAGCCGCGTCCGTTGAAGTGCAACTGCAATTTCAGGTTGAAAACACGCAACACAGCACAATGTCAAAATCGCTCGGGGCACCGTGAAGTCCAACCAAGGAAATGACGAACACATACGAACACACTGACGCATCATGCCCATGCAATCCGCTGGAGTGACAAGACTCCAAAGACCTGCCCCATCAAGCTTAACACAGGACCTTGGAGGACGAGACGCAGGCCGTCAAACAAGCGGCTGTCCACGAAACGGAACGCGACCCGCAGATACCCGCAGCACACATGCAGCACACATCGACGCTGTCGGTCAAAGTATGATCACAAAATTCCAACTTTGTTCCATTCGCGCATCCCACCCGCGGTATATGCGGTAAACCGTGCAACGGAATGCGACGCTGCAGTTGACAGCCATAGATACCATGGCAACCGCTCTGGGCCCCGCAACTTGTTGAACCAATCCGTCGTCAGCTGAGTGTTTTCTGCGAAGCTCATCATGCGCTGATGCGCATCCGGTCAAGCAGTCTACCTCCCAGCAATTGCATTCGCGACAGCACATGAACCGTAGTCTTGCACCTGTCAAACGTTGCACCTGCTGCTTGTTCATAAGCGGGTGAGAAGTTTGCCTGTGTTTATTTGAACCCATGGGCATGGTAAGCTTTGCTCTGGTCTTCAGTTCCAACCAGATTCCCGCCCACGTTTCAATACCTGTGAACGTTGATACTGATACCCTGTGGAGGTCTCACATGTACCGAGCGCAAGCAAGCTGATCATGCAATAAGACTGTTCAACAGCGCTATACATCTCCAGTCATGCATCCAAAGTCTGTGCACGCGCAAGCTCAAACTTCTTCGCAAGAGCCATGTCCCCCTGTACTGACACATGCGCATAAGGCTGCAACGAGACAAACCGACAGGCACAAAGGCAACCTCAAAACGGAGGTTTATCCCTGGTGAAAATACCCATGGCAGTGCCATGTCAGAATCTTTCTGACACCGCCATTTCACCCGTTCAGAACACTTTACTTCTGCATACGTCAGAGCCGTCAAGCCCTGAAGGGAGGCCTATTTTAATTCGTCCATGTCTCCGGCATCAGTCCGATGAGATGTGTGGCCACCGCACTGCCCAGAGAGCGGCCCACCAGCAAAATGGGGGCCCGCCAGGGCCATACAAGCCCATGCCTTGGTAAGTAGCCAACTGATGTAGCGCTTCTATTCTGCGTATGCAATGGAGCAAGTGCATGCTGGGCCGAGGACCCACGGACAATATCAGGAAGCTTCTGCATACATTCCTCCGCATCGCTTAGCAGATTGGCCATGGTCGGCTTTCCAGATGACCTTGGTCTGCGAGCATGCTCGCTCTGTAGAAAAACTTGGCACGTCCCCCCTTAATTAGCTTTAATTAGGCTTAACTATCCCTAATTAAGGGGGGACTCTAGGGGGGTAGTATAGAGGGGGGTACTAGTTGAACCCATGAGTAATACATCAGCCCAACTACCTCTGCTCCTTAGCTCCGTGTTGAGCTGGCGTTGCAAACAACAGTGCAACTTACCCCTAGGGCTCCAGTTACCTAAATAATGGCACGTAACGGCCGTTGAGCATCGTACCATCCATAGCCACGATAATCGAAAACCAACATGCCTCGGCTAAATCTGTACAAAAACGGCATCTTGAACCTGGCTTCGTGCCTGAAGCATATATTTTTGCAGCAGGTATGCCATGTTTCGCTAGGATGCAGACCTCATGAGCCTGTGTTGGTAGCGGGTTGCCTGTTTTGGAAGACGGCGACACATGCAGTCTCAGACCTGAAAGCCGGGCCGGGATTGTATAAAACATTTTAGTTCATGAAGTTCTGTGATCGCAAGGCGGAAGCACTTGGCACATGGCACAGATCACATCCTGTGCCAAATGTTGACATGATGCCCGCTAGCCGCATTTTCCATCACACTCATAATGTCCAATGAAACAGCGCTGAACCAAGCAAGGCTACGTCCAGGTGTGGTGGGTACCTGGGTTACTGGAGATTTTGTGGGATATCCCCATGTTTTCGAATCCGCACGTTCACGCTCCGTGCTCATGCCCTGCTTGCAGCACACAAGAGTTGTCACATTGCAAAGAAAAGCTCGCAGAGGATCCTCTGTTGACACATGGATCTTTGAACGCACATCTATCTTCGAAGCAGGCGCAGACCACGAACTTCCAATGGCTACGGATGAACCTGACCCGACTTTCACGTTCAACTTCAAGTCCTCGAACCGAACCCTACAACAAACATTGCTTCAGCTTCACGATCGACATCGTCGCAATTTGAATGCACTTTGGGCAGCCCGTGATCACTTTCAAGGGATGAATGCACAATATCAGGATTGGAAAGTTTCTCACAAGCTACCAAGATTCTTGAGTAAGATGCAAACCCCGCCAAAGGCTGTTGGAAGCCGTTGCCCTAGAAATCTTGATCCACGCGGTAAAACACTTGGAGAATTGGTTGCTGAACTTGATGACCAGGATGTCGATCAAATGATGATGCAGGCTAAAGCGGCTGAGCTGGATGTGCTACAACAAGATGTGTCCTGAAACTCATACACCATACAAGTTACTGAATGCCTGATGAAACATACAGAGCCCTCATTGAGATGGACCTCCAGGATGATTTCCGGAAGGATGTTTGGATCATTGAAGCTCAGAAGCTCGTTGATGCCACCCATGAGCATCTCTTATTTGGCAAAGCTTTAGCCCGATCTCAGCAGCAACAAGCCAAGAAGAAACGTGATGCCGCCATTGCGAATGCTAAGAGCCAGTTTGCACAACTTGCCAAAGATTTGCAGCTTGGCTTCATCATTGAATCCAAGGTTTCCTCGATGATGAAAGGCAATGTGAAAGTTAATCAAGCTATGAAGCAGTCAATGTCCCAACCGCTCGTTGCTCAGATGCACCAGGCAAAAACTGAGTTCATGCGTGATCATGGCAAGCTCTTCGAATTACCGCGGTTTCCTTATGGTAAAGGGCATGGTAAAGGTCATGGTAAATCCAGATCCTTCGGCCGTGGCAATCATAGCTGGCGTCCTTCATCCTCGGCGAGATCGTCCTTGCAGCAATCCGCCAAAAGCCAAAGGTAAAGGCAAAGGCAAAAAGGGGCTTTCAAGCAGTCAAGCCGGCAGAGTGCATTTATTCACATGAAAGGCAAGGGCAAGAAGAAAGGCTACCAAAACAAGGGCAAAGGCAAAGGCAAGAACAAGGGCAAGAACGGCAAATCAAATTCCAGTAGGAGGCCGAGATCAAGGAGTACAACCGCATCCAATCCGCGAATGAAGTGGGGAGGTCAAGGAGCATCTCGCGCCCCATCTCAGCAGCAGCGGCGAAACAGATACAACGTACAGCGGCACTGAAGGAGAAAAAGCAGCGCCGAGTTCGGAAACACAGGCGATCATCGTTTAATTCAATTCTTGATGACCGGAAAGCTCTTTTGCTCCATTACGCCGGGAAGTTCCTCCATGCACTTCATGATGAGCCGGGCCCCGCCACGTAGCTTGCCTGATTGCGCGCAGTTCTTGCTTAGCAAAGGGACGAAATTTGTCATTAGACGGAAACAACTTCCATCGTCTGACAAATTTGCTGCTGCACTGCACGAGTTCTAGAGAAATCTATTTTGCGCCGTCCGCTTTGCTGGTGAGGGTCACATCCCAGACCATGCCGTTCATTCACAATTTGGATGCATCTGAGCAATGGCTTGAAGTTCTTCACAAAGAGCCAAAGATGTGACCTGCAGGAAACGCTGTAGCTGCAAGCAGCTCTTCATCCTCTTCCGAAGCACTGAAGCAGATCAACTTTGGTACCCAAGGTCCATCCGGGCAGGCAGCATGCAGCTGGGCCCCCCTGAGAGGTCGAGTGAAGGAGCCCGGGACATTTGGAACGCGTTCCCCGCCTGAAGGGGCTGCTGGCAAGGAACGCCGCAGCGGTAGCCGATAGCCACGACAACACTGCCTTCTGAAAAGAGGTCACCTGGCCACGCTTACTCGGATCATGCTCATTTCTGCGGTGGGACAGGCTTGCACATGCGCTGCCTGACGCTAGCAGGACATCGCAAACATGAGCCTTGCCCTGAGAACACTTGTGACCGGGGCAACCGCGAGCGTCATTCCAACGCTTGCACATCTGAACTTCGGAGGGAAGAGAAGTACCTGTGGCAGGTTTGACCTTGATGGCAGTCACATCAGCACCAGGCATCGGAGTCATCTTGGGACGATCTGTCCTACGCGAAGACGTTGGCCCTGTACGGGATGCTGACAATAAGTCCTTCGCATCTGTCCACACATCCGATTCACCTTTGAACACGTGGAGCAAAGCCAGGCCCCAGGGCACGCCGTCACTTCGGCAACGTTCAAATTTGCTCTTCAGTACGAAGCAAGGCTGCGAGTACGGAGCACTGCGAACATGGTTGGTTGACCTGATTCAACCTCGCGCACAATGCAGCCGAATAGGCTCTTGCAAACCATCTCTCTAGACTTCAACGTCCACTGATAGAAGCTCTGAAGGATTGCGTACTTGAAATTTCTTGTCTCCGAATCTAAGGGCTCATGGATGGATTAGCAAGTCCTTGACTAAGGCGTTTGAACCTTGTGTCGTTGATGCCAGTAGCCTCTTACCACGCCTGCGTCAGGCGAGCCAGCTGCCCGACATTGTCTTTTTGGCTTGCGTGCTGGGAGCTCGCGGCAATCTTGAGGAGAGGCCGCCAGCCATGTCGAGACGTCCGCGTGCACCCCATTGCGAGCCAACAAGACTTTTAGCTCTTCCGACAAATGTCCGAAACTGGTCTTGAAGCCACTGGATTTTAGGATTTTGAGCCTAACTAGCTGGGGAACTCAATATGCCGCTGCGCTACGCCGACCAAAAGCTGCACACCAGCCTTTGCAACAAAACTGAACTGGCGTGCGTCACGCGGCACGTGTTGAACTCTGACGCGCAGACTAGCTTAGGGTGGGACAAACTAAGTGAGGTTTTCCCTTCTAGGCGTGTAGCCAAGCAGGAGGCCTCTCGGCTGTTAAAAATGGGGTCTGCTGCAATGTACTTGCCGGAAACAACTAGCAAGGGGGGCTGTAGCATATCTGAAGCTTCCTCTCTTCTGATTCCTCACCCAGCAGCGGAAGTTCTTGCTCTTCAGATTCTGATGGCTCCGGCTCTCCGAGCAAGAGCGCGCGTGAACCAGACGACGCTCAGTGGCTGCTGAGTGAAGGTGGCAGAGGTCACCTGCGCTTGCGCAAGCCAGTAGCTCTGCAGACGAAGCGATGGCACACTGCTGTAACCCTGGCTTGCTTGAACCAGTTGCTAGATGCTCGCGACACTGGCAAACCGTGGTCGCCTCGCTGCTACAACATGTTTGTCTGCAAAGCGCCAGACGCAATGGAGGGAATTGCACAGCGCATCCCACGACGTTCCTTCTAGTTTCTAGATCGATGGCGCCAGATCAACGGAGACGCAGGTAGCCACTGAACATTCAGTGCCCTTGCTTTGCCTGCACACAGCTTCCGCTCGATCTGGGAGGGATACTGCACGCCTCAACCACTCATGTTGCAACCCTGTTTGAGCAATAATGCTTACAAATTGAATGGCCGGTTATTGGCCAGGGTTCGGATTGTCAGTTGTTGCTCTGCTGAGTTTGGTGTTGATGCGCCGCAGCCAGCCAGTCGCCCACGAGCAACATTCCGCGCGAATCTAGTCGGCACAACTCCGAGAGCTTTGGAAGTACTCTTCTTGCAGAGTATGATGTTAAGTCGGCCGCTTCTGTGCCTGACAAATTGAAGGGAGCATGCTGAAACAGATGCTGGCTCAGTCTGCCAAAGCGACACAGGCCTATGGGCAAAGCCAGTAGCAGACTGCAGCGTACATCTTTTGGGCAACGAGCCTGGCAGAAAGTAACCCGGCTGTTCTCTTCCCTTGAACGCACGACGCAGAAAACTGTGAATAGCTGCACCAATGTCAAGTCCCGTCGCACCCCAACGCGGAGCGCGCCAGTCAAAAGGTCTTTGCCAACCCTGAGTGCGCCGTTTTCCCAGAGATGCTCGAGCAGAGATTGCATTATCCAGTACTCAGATTATCTTCGCACGCTGCACGCGAGCAAAACGTAGCACAGCAATTATCAAGACCACCCAGGTTAAAGCAAGGGCAGAGAGCACTTCATTCTTGCTGGACACCAGCTTCTCCAACCCAACAATGAAGGCCAACGAAAGAGGCTTGGCCTGTGATTCAACACGCGAGCTAGGCACAGCTGCTTGGTCTCGAACACGCAAGTTCGAGGCGTGAAAGTTAATGCCTATTTTGTTCTCCAACCACTTCAGTGAACTGTAGGCCCCATGAGGAGCAGTGGGCCCGCGCTCCCGAAGCGAACGCAACCAGAGGGCAACTTGAATGCAAGAGGGCGTCCACGGCGATATGTTGCTATCTTGGCAACGCGCACGCCAATGCCGAGCAAGCCGAATTGCCGCTTGGAGCGTGGTTACAACGATGGTGCACATGTCGTCAAAAAACATGGCAGCAAACTGTTCTTTTGTATCGCCACTTGGCAGCGAGTACTCGTGCCAATGGAAACCACTGCTGGCGACTTCCAAGAAGAGCGCCCACAACTCGCTAGAAGCTGCTTCGGCCACAGCTCTGTCGCGCTCATGCAAAGAGTTCGAATGCAACTGTGCTTCCGACAGAGAAGAGGCCGCCAGCTTGCGGCGATTCCCGATGCCCGACGAAGTCTGCACAGTGACGTTACTTTGACGAGTTGGTACAGCATTTCCAGCGTGCGAACCGGCCGGTACAGATACAAAGTTACGAGCGTCTCTCGAAACCTGGCGCACCACAGCAGCACAGGATCCTAGCCATGCCGAATATAGGATGGCAAGTTCATGGAGAACGCTGTCATTGCAGTATCAGCGCAAGCTGTGATGAAATTGCCAGAGGTGTCCCAAGCATTAGTGTCTATAACGGACGTGATGCCACTTCTTTGGATGCCAGTCCGAGCTTTGCTCAGCTGCTCAACAAGCCATTGCAGCCTTGGAGATGGCATCATTCATCTCTTGCACAAAGGATTTGAGAACATTGCCTTCGCAATGCTTTGGCTGGCTGCGGCGCATCAACAGCAAGCTCAGCAGAGCAACAATTGACAATCCCGAACCCAGGCCAAGAACGAGCCATTCAAATTGTAAGCATGAAGCTCTGTGATTGCTAGGCGGAGGCACTTGGCACAGATCACATCCAGTGCCAAATGTTGACATGATGCCCGCTAGCAATTTTCTCATCAAACTTGTAGTTTCCAGTTAAAAGGCGCTGAGCCAAGCGAGGCTACGTCCAGGCGTGGTGAGTACCTGGGTCACTGGAGATTTTGTGGGATTATCCCACTGCTTTCGAATCCACACATTCACAGTGTGGTCCAAAACAAGCTTGATTCTGCCAAGTGCGCGCTCCGTGCTCATACCCTGCCTGTTTTGGAAGACGGCGACACATGCAGTCTCAGAGCTGAAAGCTGGCCAACTGACAGCAGAATCAAAGTGGCACGGGCAATTTGACAGTGTTAGTTTGCTGTGCATCCTGCTGACGTTACGTACAATCATAATTTCTTGGGGTTGTTCGCAAGCCTTCCCAAACGGCTGGAAACTGCCATCTCGTTTGTGGTGGTCATGACCTTGGAATGATGAGCCTGACATGTGTCTGTTTGCCAGCCTCTGCTGCCTGTGTTAAGGCAAACTGTGAAACAAGCAAGCTGTAAAGCTCGTCGCTGCGCTTAATGACTGATTGAGAACTGAGCTCGCGAGGCTTTCTTCTGACATTTCAGATGCTGAAAGTCCACAGGTAAGCCCATGAAAGGACGATGGGCAATACACATGGGAACGTTCCACTTGGCACCAGACAGCCTCTCATAAAAGGACGAGCCTGACGAACCGGTAAGATTTCGAGAGCTGCTTGATGCGCATTCAATTCAGAATTGCTAGTCAGCTGGAAATGCTGGAAGTACTGCCTCCCACCAGCAAGACTCACAGAAAGCTGAGGAAAGTGCTACATGGAAAAATCCGATAGACGTCAGCCCACTGGGTGTAGTCTTCGCAGATCTCCCCATTGCCATGATACAATACTAAGAGGGAATTCTCGATTGCTGTGGGCTTCCGATTCATGAGGAGCCGATACCCAACTTCTGCCGTGTCCTCTCGTTTCCCCACGCGACAGCTGCCATCAAAAACTTGTACATCTTCGGCTGCCCACTCAACACGATCGTCCGGGTCGCGCGTGGACTTCTGCGGTCTCAGAATCCGAAGTTGCCGTGCATACTTCTCCCTACATAGAGACCACAGTTTTGAAATGCCTTCTGCAATGGCTTTGCAGGTATCATGGCCAGGAACGTCACCTGAGCGGGACACCAGCGTCATGCTCGCCACCGCGTACTGGAAACGTGTGCAACTTTTTCGAGCCTAAATCCGTGCCCAGGCAAAATCGAAGGCAAAGCAGGGACAGCGATGCAGCTCCTGTCCGAATGTCTTCAGAGAAATCCACGAGAAGTCCACAGCGGGAACACAACGCGGCCAGATTGATATCGCCTGCAGAGACCTCCAATGCGGCTGCCTCCTGGAAATCAGCCATGGCATCTTGGTATCGCAAGTCCCGCCAGGCATCATGGCCACGGCACACCTGAGCCAAGCGGCATCCATCGACTTTGCACTTTCTAAACAGCTTGCTGACAGCTTGGCAAGCTGCGAGAAACTCTGCCCGCTGAGCGTCCTCGACGCGGCAACATCCCCTTGCAAAGTGTGGCAAATGAGCCGAAAGCTTCGCCTTCCGTGCTCCATCTGGCAAAGCGCTGTCAAACCGGCCTTGGCCCGGAAGCAACCCATGCTTTGGCTGGAGAAGAAAATATGTTGCAGTGGTGTGGGCGCATTTGATTCATCTCATTCTTCCCAGTTGAAAGAGTCGTGCTCTTTCTGCCCTTGGGACAAGAATTCTGCAAAGTGGAGAAGACCTACCAGACCGGCGCCTCCTCCAAGTTGTTGCTTTTTGTGCCAGGAGTGTCGAGCAGGGAGATGTCCTTTGGCCAGCAGATCCCTGGGCTGGTCTATGTAGAAAGAGCCAAGAGCACACCGAACAAGTAGGCACAAAGGAAGCTGCCGTCGTAGTGTGCAAAGCTGAGCAAAGGTTCGATCTTGCCAGAGAGTTTTGTGTTGACGCCCTCAAACTGAGTGACGTTGAAGCCCGAGGCCTGCTGCAACCTGACCATACGTAATTTCTTTGGGGAATTTTCAAGTGGGGAGTCACCGGGTGGGTACCCCTACACGAGGCTTGGCCAATGCTACATGGCGAAAACTATCCACCTGAAATGTTCCGAGGCCTGATTCCCTACCTGGCTGCATGCAGCTGGAGAACTTCGCATCCAGTTGGTCCAGCGCATCGAAATCAAACATGCACCTCCATGGTAAGCAAGCATGTGCACGTGGACATGCGGGTCCGCAAAATCTCGGCGCTTCTCACACGTTGCAGGCCTTGCAGTGCCAGGCCGCGCCAGATTCAGCAAGCTTCCTCTTATACACCCTGTCTAGAGAACTGATGCTCGTTATGATGTCAAGTTGCCATATATACACAAGAAGCACATACGTAGACACCTACACATACATATACATATTCCTTTGCAAGTCAGCACTGTAACGCTTCATGGACAGCATTAAACCATTGACCAAAACTGTGAGTTCATAAAGCTTCGCCGAAACTCAAACGTCAAAAGAATGCCTTAAGGCTTCCTCAGTGTAAACGCACAGAAAGAAGTCACAGGTAGTCAGTAAACTGTCAGTAGTGATACTGGAGCACGGCTTGGGCCCTCAATGACGTTTTGGGACCGTCCCAGTGTGCACACCAGCTGCAACTGAGGTACGGTCTATACTCCTTGCGTGTGGCCTACACATTTGCTGAATGGCTAACGCTCCCATAGCTTTTTTGTTTTAGGTTGCGAATCCTACCTATAGTTTTTGGTGAATGGCTGCTTTGAACCCTCATGTCCCTGCTCATATTACCCACAACTACCGTCAAAAAAGACCGTGCTTCACTTGTCTCCACCAAATCAGGAAGGACGAGGACCCCTGCTGCATTGACATGCATCAGAAGTCCGTGCTTGCTCGCACTTTTTACTGCAGGCTAAGATCTTTGCCGACAAGTGCCGGAGTGTTCAAGCAGATCTGCACTTTTGCAAAGTTGCAACCTTTGTTGCACTTTGCTCTTCATGGACCTACCAACCTTGGCCAGGGCCGGTCCAAAAAAGCTCAGTGGTGGCGCTGGTGCATGGCATCCCCAGGCCTGAGTTGATTCGCTATCACCTCGTGCTTCTCGTGCTTCGTTCTTCGTCTTCATCACTGTCCTATCAGGGAAGCAGGTCAGTCGGTCACGGCATAATCAGCACTACGAAGCTCAATCGAGACTTCACCCAATTTGCACCTGCCTCGTCGCCCGAGCCTGTCTCCTCAGTCATGCGCGATCGTTGACGTGCAGTCTTTCTGCGCTGCAGCATTCTCGCTGCACCATCAGCAGTTCTCTTGGCTTTGCCTCAGCAGTTTCACAGAGAATTGGCTGCATTGCAGCTTCAGAGTCAAGAAAAATAAGTGGACACGGGATTGCTTTGAGCTCGTCGCTCATCATGCGTTGTTCCTCGCAGCAAGTGGAAGTGCTCTTGCAAAACCACATCACATGCACAATTGTGCGAAGCTGCTTGTCTTCTTTAAAGCACATGCGAGCAGCTGAGAAAAATCATGTGAGTAGAATTATCAAGGGGATCGCTTGTGTTAGGGGAGGCTATCCTTTTACAGTGTTTTGCATCACTTCAGTTATTCTACCTATCGCTTTGCAGTGATTTGCAAAGCCCCTTTGCTGGGATGCTGCACATCTTTACTTTTGGATGGATCCTTCTATGTAGGGTGGTGTGCGTCTCATGTACGCCTCGGATCTCACCACTGATGAGAACTGAATGCTCAGGATTTGTACAGATCTCCTTGCCATCGATGCCAAAGCTCTACCCGGCATTTCCGTGCCACTCCTCCCCGATTGCCCCAACATGCCTCTCCTTGCCTGCCCACTGCCTAGGAAAACCTTGGACTGCCTGCCCACTGCCTAGGAAAACCTTGGACTAACCCCGCAGCATCAGAACAATACCCATGCCACCGCCTGGTGAGAAGATCTTCTAGTAATGGATGCTTTTAGCGGAACGGACTAGTGCGTCCCAGTGGAAACATGCTCCTTTTGTAGGGTGTCCCCAGCAGCAGAAAGTGTATCAACCATCTACCAGTCTACGCGGATCTGAACACCAAAACCACCAGATCAATCCAAGCAAATGCACTTTTACCTGACCTCAAAAGGTCCTCAGTTCTCACCTGCGACTCACAAGATTTCAAGATGAGCTTAAGCAGTTGCGGCTCAGAACTTCAATCTGCCGATGAATGGTCCTACAGTTTGTTTGTTGGCTAGTCACGCCAACCATACAAGGCTTCTTAGTTGTCAATAGCGCAGCTGTGGCTGAAAATCGTGAAAGGCCTGATCTATTCGTTCTCGGAGAACATCCTCCTGCAAGCCGAGGATGGCACAGGTCCGCTTGTAACTTCTGACTGCAAAGAACGGTCCTTTGGCTGCTCATGCTCCTCCACGGGATGCGGAGTGGCCGGCGCACCAGCCTACACAGATCACATGGCTTGCCTGCTAGTAAAGCACTATGCAAGCAACGTCCTGCTCCCTGCTGCGGTCAGCCGCATCTGCATGAGATGGTGCAGACATCTGTTCTTGCTCCCGTGTCTCCTGCAAGGTTCCACGTGCGAAAGCTTCAGAAGTTCCGGGCACCCTGGCCTCCTGCTCCACATCCTGGGGGACCTTTTGCGTTACCTCCGGTTCCTTACTCTCCTTTTCCCCTTCGATTGCCTTTTCCTTGGAAGCCTCCCAGAGTCAACACGTGTGGGGGTTCCAGGCCCCTTCAGTACGCAAATGGGATGTGCCTGCTGCATTGCCTTTGTGGCCTCCCATTTAGATACGCTTTCCTGCCGCTTCGTGAGCTTTACAAGTGAGAGCCAGCTCTGGTGAATCTGCAACGCAAGATGAGAAATTGTTGAGATCCGGACTCTTCTGGGAACCTGACGTGCCTTCAAAAGCCATGCGAGGCAAGAAAAGTGGATCTCGGAAAATTTTGTATTATGAGTGTGTACTACGTCTTTGCATTTTCTGCATGGGCGCCACTCATGAGGATGTCAGCCTCAGATTCTGCTTCCTCTCGGGCTCTTCGAAGGGTACCTGCAGTGCAGCGGAAGTCGCCTCACCCATGTGTACACAACTGCGCACATGTTAAATGCAGATGATGGGCCTATGATCTTTTCGAGGTGTTGACTTTCAATTCTTGCCTTCTCCACCTGCCCAAGGGGGCGAGTCTTCAGCTTCTCAGTTGCCCGTACGTGCTCGGAACCTCCAAGTACGCACGCCCAGTGCTGAACATCGGCTTGAAACCCTTGGATTCTGACTCACTTGCAGGCACAGCTTTGAGAAAATTGAGGACGCAACTTGACCAACGGCCATCGCCATCATCAGCTTTTGCTCTCTCTCAAGAGATTCTCGCCTAAAGGCACGCACCCAGACAGACGGTTCACCTGCAACGTTGCCTAAAATTGCGCGCATGGACAGCCTGTCTCGGAAAATGTCTTCCGTTCTCCTGAAGGCCTGCACCGAACTGACAGCGGAAAAAGGCTGCTGTGACATCATGCACACGCGGCCTCGCGCTTCGTCAAGCCTTCTTCCCTCATGAGCTTCAGCTGCTGGGCCACAAACTGCCAAAGACCATGTGAAACAGGCAAAGCCAACCCACAGAAGAACAGCCCGGCGGATCTCCAAGGGGTCCTGCATTACCGGATGGTCATCTCTGTATGAGTCGTTTCCTGCCGACCAGTCATTCCCGTCGACATAGCAGTCCTAGCGCTGCAAGTGGCACACTAGCAAGGCGTGTGATGCAAATTTGGCTGCTGAACGTAAACAGCTTCTGTTTACATCCTTTCTTGGGTCTACAGAGTACATCGGCGTTCCGAAAGTTTTGAGCCACGGGGCCCTTTAACATGTTTACTGGGGCGCAAACATCTTGCGGAGCAGCGGAGGGGCCCCACATGCCGTTTTCACTGGCCCTGCTAGCGGAGTAACTAATGCGCTGCTCAAAATATGATACTGTTGTTTAGTCCGAGCGGAGGCCCCAAGGCTCAGTGTTAGGACCCCCTACCCCAGGCATCGGCAAGAAAACCCTTTCAAAAAACACCTTCGGTAGGCAGCGTCGATTTTGGCGGCAAGGGCCGGTGCTAAGACAGGGCGCCGCAATATGCATGATGCGACCTGGCCACTCCAATGACCTCCTAGAAATCCTTTCAAACATACCGTCCCCAGCGCTGTACTCTACTGGACCATCAGCCAGAAAATTCATGCTGCGGCCGGCGGAAAGTTCGTCGCACTGCCATGTCTACAACTTGAACNNCCCCTTCCCCCCATAGACTCCTCCATCAGCTCAAGGGCTCCAGTCCTCCATCTGAAGCAATTAAAGTATCAAAATTTATTGCGGCGTGATAATTCCTCCGTTAGCCAGGCCAGTGAAAATGAGC